ACGTGCGGACAAAGTCCTCGGTCGTTCTTCCCTTGAAGGGAATAAATGTCCAAAGATTGCCCCCTTGAAACGATCGTAAACGTTAGGTACATTTGCATTGAGAACAACCTCAGGAACAGCAGCTATGTCATCCCCTAGTAGCGGTTCCAGAACGGCATATTTTTGCCGTTGGTTCGTTATGCGGCGGATCTGGAATCGAGATTATAGTGCCGCGAACCAAACTTCTAGATCGTGGGGAATAAAGAAATCAGGCCGAAAATTGATTGGCTATACCCATGAGTCTGCTATATTAATGCCACTGTTATCGTTATACACCATATTGTGTTGTTGTCGGAATATTATATATTAAAAAATATTAATACGAATACGTGCAAAAGAAGTAGATAGTTAGATAATAGACCCACCGTGGCAATCTTCTTTGAAAAGTTTTCCAGAGATTGAAACTTGTTTGAAATTTCGGGTCACCAGATTTAGTAGGCGTCGAGTCGCGATTGACTATGATCACTACTACAGGATGATTATGTGCCGGCGATTAGGTTGGATCTCTCCGTAATTCAAATATCAGAAGGCATTTGAAGGTTGTAATAAGATATATTTGTTGGCGATCTCGTAGTATCGAAGGAATACTGAGATCATGCCAAAGCTTACAAGCGGAACTACCAAGCATACTGGAGTTCGTGCAAGGTCACAGACAACGGAAGAATGTATGTTTTTGGTACACTTGAACAAACAGGTACAGTAAAACAATCACAGGTACAATCAGTGTTATATAAAACACTGATTTTGTCTTTTTAGCGATATTTTTTTGTTACCTATTAAAAAAAGAATGAGAATTGTATGAAATTATTGAAATTGTGCTTAGAAGACGTTCTAAAAGTCCTGTGTTTTATTTCACTTCTAATATGGTGTGGGTTACTGATATCCACATAAGTAGTATATGGTGATGGTCGGGCATTGAATGTATTTCAGTAGAAGATTGATAAGGAGAAAACTGGAACGGAAAGGAATTGTTTCGAAAATGAATGAACAATTATAATCGAAGACTATGGACGGATATTTGCAGAAGAAACAGTCAAATTGAGACATCATTGATTGCAATTTTGCAAATTAACTGTTCACTAAATGGTTCTCATATTTTAATGAGATAGTTTGTAATGTTGTGCTAAAATACATTCGATTGTCCCTACTCACGTGCTGTTCAATACAATAGTAGTGGGCCAGGTTTACAAAGTGTATGAAGTAGTTGATATCTATCCATTCAATACAATTTCAAGTTCTGTACTTGATATAAGTTAGGTATAAGGTAGGTATTACAATCAGATTTAGTTGTAATAACAAATAAGAACTATATCTGAACTTTTTAACGGTCAATTTTCGAGTGGAGATTTCAGTAATTTTATATGATTAAGATAATGAGTCAATTGAAGCTAGACCATCGTGGAAAACGTGGAAGCACTGGACGACCGTTTCGTCCTATTGTGGGACTCCTCGTCCGCGATCCCACCTCGCAAGTGGGATTCGAACGTAGGACCTACCAGTCTCGCGCCAGAGAGCTTAACCGATAGACGACGAGCATCCAACGGTGTTAATGACTAACCTCAACCAATCCACGAAATTGTGCGACCAACTTCCACGGCTTCCAGGTTTCCCACGGTTGTCTAGCTTCAATTGACTCATGATCGTAACTCTATAAAGTTTAGAATGTTTTATTGAGAACCTCGAATCTCATAGTCCGTTTACATTTCTTGAACAATTACACTGAAATATACTATTCCTAAATTTCCTCACATTATTAAATAGATCGTGTAACATAGTCATTATAAAACATAATCAGTGATAATTTGTCCTTATTCTTCTTTTGAACAACCTCATAGAACTATGTGGGTCAAGTATCCAAGAACATTGACTTCTTGAGGGAAAAGAGGCAAAAATGAATCTATAAGTTTTCCGATAACCATGCACTAGTTATCCACGAGCCATTCGATAAAAACGGACTCCAATTTCATAGTCGTCTACTTGATAAAAACATACTTGTCAAAGACAGTGAAATTCCATTTTTATAGTGTTACAGAAACCTTTCTTCGAGCATTCATATCACGTTAACAAAAGAAACGTAATCTAGGTCTTCTACCAGTGTTTTAAATTCTAAATTTCCGAAGTTATTATCCTCTATGCATCGTTATCCATTGACCATAAACCTCCAGACAATCTATTTCTGTTTCTATGTTCTTTCTAATGACAATTCATTTCAATTTCAATATCTTATCTCATCACATATTATGAAACCATTTTTCGAAACTTTGCATTCTTATTCTATTTTCCTAATGGATATTCCTCATGTTAATTACATTTCAGAGGGGGTTTTGTGGAGAATTTAGTATTTTCACAGTTGAAATCATGAGTCAATTGAAGCTAGACCACCATCGAAAACCTGGAAACACTGGACGGCCGTTTCGTCCTATTATGAGACTCCTCAGCAGTGCACATCCACGAACCCGCTCTCGCGAGCGAAATTCGAACCCAGGACCTACCAGTCACGAGCCGAAGCCCTTAACCGAGGAGTCCCATAATAGGACGAAACGGCCGTCCAGTGCTTCCAGGTTTTCGATGGTGGTCTAGCTTCAATTACATTCCAGTATTTTTTTAAATATAAATAACATTTTACAGTTTCCATTCATTTTACCCCTTTGTTGTTATGTTCAATAAATTAGTAATTTTACTAACAAACATATTGGTTTATCAATTTGGAAAATACAATAAAGATTTACTATTGTACAACTTTAAAAACGGACTTATTAGAAAGAGAATTTGTTTCCAACCCATGTTTTTTCATCTCATAAAAGATTTAACTGTTAGTTAATAATGTTATAATTTAGATCATAGTTCGTAAAGATTATTTCTGTTCACAATTGATTGATCACTGGGTGGTGATCAATGTCATGCATGTCAAGTCTGTCTTAGTGTTGATCGAATGCTATCGATCAAGTTGTAATGTGGCCAGTAGTCTAAGTGACTCGACACTGTGTGCACTATATTGAGATAAGATGATGGTTGGAGGTAGTCAAAAAGATACCCTGGATCCGGGTTTCGTGTAGTTTTCTTACTTTCATCTTATTTCTATCTGTTGATCACTTGAAGCAACAACATCATTACACAATCATTATTGAATGATAATTTTGTTATATGACGTAAAATCAAGAAAGATTATTAACTTAATCAATTAATAAGAATAAACAATAAGTATTAATGTTAATCTGTTACTAAGCTTGTTTAAAGTTTACAATGTAAAATGTAATTGACAAGTGTGCCATTATATTGTTTCACTATTGATGATCTCCTATGTTTATCGGACCATTTGACACTAATCACATGTTCAATGACCATTAATTATATTGTTTGATTAATTATCTACTCATTTTGCAAGCAAAGTGCATTTTAAACTTCACTCAGTTGCAGTAGCAAGTGACTAAAAGGAATCAATAGCTAAATAGATAACGTAATAGCTTTTGAAGTGAACGGTAAAGGGTTCAAGTCCCAAATTAAACATCAACTTTGAAATGCAAGCACATCCAGTTAACGAGTTCCAAATAGGATGGAACATGCAACACACTGGATTCCACTGTTATCCCCTATCAATTTTACTTTAAAAGCTTATTACTTAAGGCAATAATCAAGGCAATACACACAGTATGCTCATATGCCAATTAGAGACTGACCAGTTGCAATCCCCGAATGCCCTGGTACGTCCGAGAGTGGGGAGAGTCAGCTCTCCCTCTCCAAATGCTCTCATATGGCCACGCGAATATATAGCATCTGCCAGGGAAGTCCTACTCACTGCCTTCTCGCACCAGGGTTTTGTTTACGAAATTGAGAGGACAAAAAGCGAATGTCCGGCGCTTTAACCGGATTGGTGGATGTGGAGTGTCTACCTAGGGGAGTTGGAAAACCCTGATTCCAAACCGATGGTGCACATGGGCTCCAGTATACTGAAGGAACGAATGACGTATGAACCAACTGTTGGTCACCCGCTACCATGGAACTGTATCTCCTCACGATGCTCCACTACCTTGTGGATTAGACCTTCAGGTCAAAGGCTCCGGTTATGGCCCCCTAAGAAAACCAACTGCTTCAGTCTGGGCACCTAGGCAGTATCATAGCTCTCACACAAATCCAATGAGATTTATGAGGCGCATATTTATCTGGTGCTTCCTTGTACCAATATTTATGTGTTTAAATAAAATAAAATAAAAAGTTGCAATCCTAACACATCGATGGGAAGATTCAAACAAACAATACGAAGTGGATTTTACATTTTTTTTTTCTCCTTAAAAATTAAAATTCCTGTAATGAAAATTCAAAGAAATCAATCAAGTTATTATGAATAAAGATACAGAATATGAAATAAACAAAAAAAACAACAACAGCAAAACCCAATAAACCATTGAAATTGATAAGATACTACTCATTAGTAGTTTACAAAAGAAACGGTCGTTTTTTTTTTCCTTAAAAACAAAGAAGAAAAATAAAAAGGAGAAAAAAAATTTTCAACCGGGAAAAAACACATTTTTTAAAAAAATTATTGTATTATTTATTACTTGAAAAATCTTCATAATAATACTGATTTTTTAATTAATTTTCATAATATAAAAAAAATATTAAAAAAAAAATATGTACAATAGTTGTCATGTTGGATACCAAAATTATAAAAAAAAAAACAAACCATGGTGAGTTTGTGATTATTATTTAAAATAGAAACAAATTTTGTTCTAATGTGCGTGTGTGTATGTGTATGTTAGTGTGTATGTATGTGTGCGTGTATGTGTGTGTCTCAATTGTAGATTGACTTATTAAAAAACATAATTATATAACAAAAATGAGAAGATGAACAAAATGACTTAAAATATATTAGTAGTAGTAGTAAAGGAAGTAGTAGTAGTAGTAGTAACGGAAGTAGTAGTAGTAGTAATAGTAGAAGTAGTAGTAATAGTAGAAGTAGTAGTAGTAGTAGTAGTAGTATTGGTAGTAGTAGTGGTAGTAGTAGTAGTAGTAGTAGTAGTAGAAGTAGTAGTAATAGTAGAAGTAGTAGTAATAGTAGGAGTAGTAGCAGTAGCAATAGTAGTAGTAGTAGTAGAAGTAGTAGTAGTAGTAGGAGGAGGAGGAGGAGGAGGAGTGGAATAATAATAAAATTACAAATAAAGTTTTAATTATTCATAATAATTGATTTTTTATTATGCATTTGTAAACATAAACTATTACGCATATAAGCTGGTAATCTAAGTGAATGACTTTCACGATCAAATACATAAATTGGTTCATTTGTCCAAATGGAACCCTAGAAAATAAAATGAAAAATATGTCAGTGTAAAAATAATGCTACACCAGGATCAAACGATCGTCCAGTGCTTCTAGGTTGACCATAATGACTTAGCTTCAATTGACTCATGATTTCCACTATTAAATTATTGAAATCTCCATGAAACCTCCTTCTGATACATAATAATTCACAAATATATGTATATTATTTGATATTATATGATTGACAGGACTCAATTGAGAGGCGTAGAAAATGGTCATATGTTGTTTATTTTGGATGTGTAACCTTTAAGGATTAATGCTTATCCTGAATAAGCTAAGAATAATGTTATTGAATATGATAGTGGATAAATTGATTATTGAACTGATATATTAATACTAGTGGGTCAAAAAAATGGTAAAGATTGTTTTATTGTTCACTTTATATTGATCAGAGGGGGTTTTATGGAGAATTTAGTATTTTCATAGTTGAAATCATGGGTCAATTGAAGCTAGACCACGATCGAAAGCCTGGAAACACTGGACGGCCGCTTCGTCCTATTATGAGACTCCTCAGTAGTGGGCATCCACGATTTCGCACTCGTGAGATTCGAACCCAGGACTTACTAATCTCGAGCCGGAGCCCTTAACCGATAGACCACTGAGCCAGTATCAAACGATGTTAATGTTTAACTTCAACCACTTTATATTGGTCATTACATTCTACATTCATTGTATTTTGTTACTTCTTGTACTCCAAGAAAAGTCAAGACAAAGGAGTAATTTGTAAACAAAAAACCGTTTATGAGTTAAGGAGTGAACGAAAGTTTTCACTTCAATGCTACTCTATCTATACAGCCTTAGAATCTATCTCCTTTATATACTGGTTAATAAGTCTTGTTGTTGTGTCAAATGTTCAGTCTAATTGAATTTCTATTCGTTCTTGTTCGTATCAAAAGAATCCTCAGTACCACATGAATAGAATTTACTTCAGACTAATCGGGAATCCAGGTATCGTAATAATTTTTTTTGGATCAAGATTTGAACATTTACATTGTAGTATTCAAACTAAAAGTTTCGGCGCAAAATTCACTCATCCATTTGGACGAATAGAGTTTTGGCATTATAGGTGATGTCAGTTCGTAATAAAAACTCTTATTCTAATTCCTAACCTTAAATCATAATTATAATGCCTCACACTACTTTTTAATCATCATTTATTATTATTATTTTATTATTATTAGCTTTATTCAATATTATATTTTTGATACGATATAGAATTTTTAGCACAAAGTACTTCAACAAGTTTCCGTTTTTTACTTCTTCATCCTTCCTGAAGATGAATATTGAGTGATCGCCAGTTAGAACTTAGCAGCCCAGTCAATCGACATCTGGATAATGTACATTCTTGTCGCTGCATATTGCCAACAACCATGATATGCCTGATTAAGCCTTCTGTAACCTTTACAGCGAAAGGTCTTACACTTTTCAGAAACGCACCTGAATAGGTTGTGCGATTAATAGGCATAGTGATATATTAAAACAAACGAAATCAGATAACTTGTTGAAATATCTAGATGACAGGAACAGGTAGCTCAGATGTTTAAACAGGCCGCCTTGTTATTAAATGAACACTCTTAAGATCAGTCTTAAAGGTCGTTCATAAATTGTAATCTCATTGAACAAAGTATACACTCCTTTAAACTTACATTATTATTATCACGTCTCCATTTAAGTACAGCATCATCATCATTGAAATAGGTTGAACATGAAATGATCAGTATATGACTATCTGTAATTCTGAATATATATTTTTTTTAATAAAAAGGATAATAAAATGCTAAAATAAGTTTGTATATCATATGTTTGAATGAAGTTAACAATGATTCTTTCAATTAAAATCATGATTAAATATAAAATTCACATCCAACCACCATCTTATCTCAATATATAGTGCATACAGTGTGGAGCCATCTAGACTAGTAGCCACATTGCAACTAGATCGATAGCATTCGATCAGCACTAAGAAGGACTTGACATGCATGATATTGATCACCACCCAATGATCAATCAATTGTAATTACATTTCAGTCCTACAGGAGGTTGGTCGCGACCCGAATAGCTCAGTGGTAACGTCTCTGACTGTGAAGCTGAGTGACACGGGATCGAATCCGTCAGGGAGCACCAGTTCCCTCAAGATTATAGGTACATCTTGCTGACGAGTGCCAAGTAGCACGAAACCCGGATCCAGGGTTTTCTGTTGACCACCTCTAACCACCATCTTATCTTAACATAGTGCGCGCACTGTCGAGCCACTTAGACTTGTGACCACATTGCCACTTGATCGATAGCATTCGATCAACACTAAGACAGACTTGACATGCATGACATTGATCACCACTCAATGATCAATCAATTGTGATTATATAATTCATTTATGTTAGGTGATTGGAGACTATCAATAAATCAATAAATTGAAACATATAACCGATTATCCAATAGACCAGTTAGATTTAAAACCATTAATATATGTAACCTTTCATTACTGTGATATGTGCTACTGATGTCAACAGATATAAGTAGTATATATCATCAATCGGAAGTGAAATGCTTGACAGTAGAACGTTCGGAAGATCAAAGAAAAAAGAACGAGAACAGAGAGTGAAGGAATAGCAAAGTTTGATGGACATTTTGCAAATGAAGTATTTATTGTGTGACTCTCAGATTTTACTAAGAGATTCTGTAATTTTCTATTCAACTACATTCGATAGTCCCCGCTTGTATTCTCCTTCACTACAATAGTTGTAGTAAACAATAGTTAAGGTGGTATAAACCAATTTATTGCTTTATGCAAAATTATATAGTGTTTACGTGAAATATGAAAATTATACATTTAATAAATTCATTTAGTATTGTTTGTTTGAATCTTCCCATCGATGTGTTAGGACTTCAACTGGTCAGTCTCTAATTGGAATATGTGTATACTGTGCGTATTGCCTCGATATAGAGTTAATTCACAAGCATGGTAAGCAGAGATGGATAGTGGCTAGCAGTGGAATCCAGTGTAACGAATGCTTCGTCCTAATTGGGACTGGATGTACCTGTATCTCAGAGATGATGTTCACTCTGGGACTCGAACCCAGTACTTTTCGCTTCAAATGCCATCGCGTTATCCACTCGGCCACTGAGTCCTGATAGCCGTACCTGATAGATGCAGGTACATCCAGCTGACGAATCCCAAATAGGATGAAACGCGCGTCCTGGATTCCCCTGCTAGCCACTATCCATCTCTGCTTACTATACATTAAATATATTATTTGAACATTTTTCTTCAGTTATCATGTACATAGTGCTTTATTCTTCACATCCAGTTGTTATTCCAGTTCCTCTTTGTTTCCTTCGCTCTTCTCTCCGTTTCAATCTTCTACTGCCAAATATCCCACTTTTAACTGGTACTATAATCTACTTATACCGGTCAGCATAAGTAGCATAACACCATATCATCAGTTCGTATTTTAGATTTTATGAGGTAAGTTTCTTATGCCGCTATGACAACTTAAAGCAAGAACTATATTGTTTATGGGTAGCTGTAATAGTAAAATTAAATAATGTTTCTATTCAGTGTGTAATTTCTCGCTTGTAGTAAGTTTATGAAGTTAGTAACTTATTAAACAAACTGTCAGTGTACAAGGTTTATAGAATCATATAAATGGTTTGTCCAAGTACTATCATTTTTAACAGAAGGGGTTTTGTGTAGATTTAGTATTTTCACAGTTAAAATCATGAGTCAATTGAAGCTACACCACCATGGAAAACCTGGAACTAATGGACGACCAACTCGTCCTATTATGGGACTCCTCAGCAGTGCGCATACACTATCCCGCCTCACTGAAAATGGACTTGGATGATACAATTTGATGTTAACATAGATGAATAATCCAAAGTCAAATAATTCATCTCAGGTAGTGATAAATCTTGCTATATTCAGATCCTAAGCTAGTCTCGTATCCACAAAGCTAGAACTACACAGCGACTCGAACATGAGAGAAAAGGTGAGAAATATGCGAGAAGCACTTTACTCCAAAAGTTCATTTATGTATATAAAATATAGGGTTTTTATAGTATTCTAGATGTCCTTGGGTTTTCCTGAAAATTCTGGAATGCTACTAAACATAGTAGCAGTATAGTAATCAGCCAATCAGAAACTCTACATGTGACTTTTCACTTTCGTGATGTTTCTGGCAAACCTTCTAGTGAAACTCTGATTGGATAAAATACTTCTTAATGCTTCCCAAGCTTGTCATGTCTATTGCGAAAAACTTTCTGGATCATTCCAATAGATACAGTTTGTGTAACCAGAATATTCATAAAATTGTGTTATTGTTACTAATGTTAGTACTAGCTACGTCAATATGTAATACATTATGTTGTCAGCTGATAGTATAAGAAACGGCAATAACAAAACTATTTACAATAAAAAAAAGGATAAGTTCACGAAATCTTTACTTTTGATTACAAAAATAGCTGAATAGCTTGAAAGCAACGTATCCTGCTCCGAAATATGGTGGCAAATTCTTCAAATCTACAGAGATCATCACCTCCTTTATGTTCTTCAGTTACACCTCACCGAAAAGTTTCGACAACCTTAAAACTTAAGGTTTTTGTCAACCACTTCATATCAAAACATTGATTGAAATGTTAAGCTATTAGAGCAAGTAGGCAAGTTAAGATTTGATTCATTGAACTTATTCAGCATTGAAACCTTTAATAGTTGAAAACATGAGTCAATTGAAGCTACACAACCATGGAAAATCTGTGTAGTGAACAGAACACCACTGGGGACAATCGAATGTATTTAAGCAAAAATTACAGTCTATCTCAGTAAATTCTGAAAACCATACAATGAACAGTCAATTTGCAAATTAACAACCAATTGTTTCAATCTTCACTGTTTCTTCTCTAATTCCACTGCTCATGCATTTTCCAAACGATTGCGCTTCATTTCAGTTCTTTCGTCATCGGTCTTCCGCCAAAATACATTCTATGTCTGACCCACACTATATACTACTTATATAGATATAAGTAGACCACACCACACCTGGAAGCACTGGACGGCCAACTTGTCCTATTACGGGACTCCTCAGCAGGGCGCATCCACGAACCCGCACTCGCGAGTTTAGAACCCAGGACCTACCGGTTTCGAGCCAGAGCCCTTAATTGATAGACCACTGAGCTGGCATTCAGGAGCTCTAGTGAGAAGCAGTGACCAGTGGAGTTCAACCAGGTATGTTGTGAGATAAGAACTCACTGAAGACAATTGGTGAACGGTTGCTCAACTTCGTGGATCAGTCGAAGCTAGACATTAACACCTTTGGATGCCGGCCGGTTCAATGGTCTATCGGTTAATGGCTCTGGCTCGAGACTGGCAGGACCTGAGTTCGAATCTCACAAGGTAGGATCGTGGATGTGCACTGTTGAGGAGTCCCATAATAGGACGAGTTGGTCGTCCATTACTTCCAGGTTTTCCATGGTGGTGTAGCTTCAATTGACTCATGCTTTCAACTATGAAAAATACTAAATCTACACAAAACCCCTTCTGATAATTGAAACATTTGACAAACTTTTCAGGGGGTGAATACTTAGCAACAAATCTCTGTTAATTTCAATCTAAACACTGTGTCGGTTACTCAATCTAATAATTTGTCAAACTCATCAATTATCAAATGTTTTTTTATGAAAGGATAAAAGAATACTTATATTGTTTATCTTACTTTTTCATAACTAAAAATCGTATAGGAGTTTCAGCTACTTTACTACGTACAATTTTTTGTAATTCATAAACATAATTTGAATCAATTGCATATTCTAAAATTAATGAATTTTGACGTAATGGATAAAATAGGGGTTCTGGATCTTTATCTGGTATATGACTAACATCAGGATTTGATGGACAACGAGTAGATTTCAATAAAGTTTTACGTGTTGTTTCACCAATCAATTGTAATTCATCTTTCAATGACGTTGAACTCTACAATATTGGAATAATGGATTTGATGTTTAGAGAAAAATAAAAACAAAGAAAATATCAACTTTACTTGGTCTATCAATAGGGCAATTGATTAAGATCTTGGGTTCGATTTAACGGTGGATTGATGGATGATGTCTTTTTAACTCCTGGCATGTCAGGACTCCACCAGTTATGATTTCGTCACGAGACCTATAGGTCTTGGATTAGATCCCTAGTGGAGTCTTCGGTGAGTATTACTGAAAATTCTAAAATTAGGATGAAAACTCTGTCCTATGTTCTACAGTTTTCAACTGGTTCCATGATGTGATGAATACAAACTGCGGCTAGAAGAAATATTGATTAGTTCAGTGTTTGTACATTTATGCAATCTTAGTTTTAAATTAAATTCATTTAGTATTGTTTGTTTGAATCTTCCCATCGATGATAACGCAATGGCGTTTGGAGCGAAAAGTACTGGGTTCGAGTCCCAGAGTGAACATCAACTCTGAGATGCAGGTACATCCAGCTGACGAGTGCCAAATAGGATGAAACTCGCGTACTGGATTCAACTGCTAGCCACTATCCATCTCTGCTTAGTTTTTGTTTTGTTTGCTTCTTTTAATTCTCAAAATATACATTCTCTTAAGTTTTGTAGGCATTTCAGCATCAAACTCATCAGTTTATTCAATGAAAATTCATAATTCTCAAAGGATAAAACTTACTTTATGTCTGGTCATATGAATATTACTTTCCAAACTTTTTTTCTTTTCTGTTTCTAGGAAAAAGTATAAGTAAACGATCATTTGAGTATTGATCTACTGTTAATCTCAACTTAGAAATTTCAATAGAAAACATCTATTCATATTCATTTAGTATTGTTTGTTTGAATCTTCTCATCAATGTGTTAGGACTGTAAATGGTCAGTCTCTAATTGGCATATGTGAATACTGTGCGTATTGCCTCGATATAGCCTTAATTCACAAGCATAGTTACATCCAGCTGTCGAGTCTCAAATTGGACGAAACATGCGTCATACTGGATTCCACTGCTAGCCACTATCCATCTTTGTTTACAATCCATTGATATGTTTATATAGGTAACAATATGATGTGGTTGATTTTGAAATCAATATATTCGACAATTAAATAATGAGATGAACGTTTCTGTAGTACATATTTCGAATTTTATTGCAATATGCCTTTCAAAATCATATAGAATTGAAAATCGATTCATTCTTTAGGTACTTGGAAATGAGTTTGTACAAGCTAACGATACAATCTAGTTGTTCAAATCAAACTAAAAGGAATGTGGCTCAGCACTGAGACCTTGTGGCTGAAAGTCAAACGACTTTTCATTTATTGGATTTGACAAGTTCATTTCATTAAAGTAAGATATTTTAGTGGAGAAAATTTCTTTTTTCCATGAAATCAGTTTCTAAAACTTTACAGTCCTATTTATAGCACTTAGTAAACAAATATCCAAACACTAGTCTGCTTGGTTATCTAAGGGGGTATACATATCAATGGACATCTGAATGATTGAACATATAGTCAATTCAGGCTCCACCTTACCACATGAATTCGCGTTCAAAATCCTTTACAAAATAAATTAAATTAACTTGAAAAAGGTTTCGATCATGAAATTTATACAAAGCTGAGGCTATAGCAATTCACCATTTTCAAGCCCATACATCGTGTACAGAAAAGTCATGTTCAATCCTTTATTTTCCCATGGTTCTAAGTAGGTCTTCGAATGAAGTTATCTTTATCTTTTATTTCATAGATTAGTCATTTTTATTACTTTCAAAGCAACTACACAACGTGAGCTCCATGATAAGTGATGATTGCTTTATTAAATGATTTAACCTTTTCTTATTTAGTATTTATAAGGTTTAATTACAATGAAATAATACCCTTCCATTTATAGATTATTACTTGAAATACCGTAAGATTTTTGATAATCATGATTATATTATACAACCCCAATTCCTTTTCATCGACCTTTATCTAAATAAATTTGACTAAATTTAATAGTTGAATTCATGAGTCAATTCGAGATAGACCATTATGAAAAACCTGCAAGCACCGGACGGCCGTTTCGTTCTAGTACAAGTTTTTTCAGCAGCGAGTATTTAAGATCCCTCATTCGGGATTCGAATCCGGGACTTATCGGTCTTGCGCGCAAACGCTTAATGAATTAAATATCTTTATTTTCTTTTGTTTTAACTTTAAAAATCAAACTTACTTTGATAAGTATGAATTTGATAAACTAAAACTTCACCCATTCCTGTACCGATCCATAATGTATTATCATATGGAAGTATTACAGTGACTCGTTGAGGATTAAATGTATACTCTTCTTCCTGTATAAAAGTATTCATAATAAAAGGGTGAATATCTCAGTTGAATACTATAAAATTACTTATAATTATAATCAAAGTTCATATGATGTATTATTTTGATTACCTACAAATATATTAGTATAAGCAAAGATAAATAGTGGCTAGCAGTGGAATCCAGGACACATGTTTGAACTCTTCAGCTGAATATACTTACATCTCAGAGTTGATATCCACTCTGGGACTCGAACTCACTACCATTCTTTTCAAACGCTATCATGTTATCTACTAAGCTCCTGAGTTATGATAGCCCATTTTCTTTTGCATTGGGGTGAAGTTTAAATTCACTTGGTATTGTTTAATTGAATCTTCCCACTGATGTTTAGGACTAAATTTCAAGCGAAGATGAATGATGGCTAGCAGTGGGTTAAGGCAATACACACACTATGCACATATACCAATAAGAGACTGATCGACTGCAGCTCTAAACAACAATGGGAAGATTCAAGTAAACAATACCAAGTAGGACGAAACGCGCGTCATACATACATACATACATACATACATACATACATACATACATACATACATAGAACCTCTTGTTTATTATCCTAATAGATCGCATCAGATGTAATCTAAAGTGATAATACTGAGCAGAACTCGACAATGAAAATAGAGACCTTGTATCAAGATCCTTATCCAACAAACATTGTAAATCTGGAAGCGCTGAAATACTGTCTAATCTTAACATGAGACTCCTCGGTAGTACGCAGCCATGATCCCACCACTTAGTATTATACCCAGGACATACAGTATCATCCGCGAACGCCAACCCTCTGTACCACTTAGCTGGAATCCAGTGATGAACAATGTTAACTTCAGCCAATATGCCATATTGCGTGACTATATTGTATTGTCTTAATCGGGTATCTTTCTCACTTCCGATACAGGTGAGTTTCATTACTCACAGCTTCTCCGTAGAACTCCGAAAATTTTCTAAGATAGTGAAAATTTTTATTGGGTTTGAGCTAAAATAATCTGTGTGATGATATTTCACATGGAGAATAAGTGGTTTGGCAGTGACATATTTTATCGATTGATTGAAATAATAGTCCTTTAACTACTGATCCATTGCCCTAAAACGATAACAATTAACTGGAGATGACGACTCGTAGTTACTAATCTAGAAGTGAATGTATCATATCACAACAAATGGTGCAATCAACAGGGACCTCTAGAGGTAAGCATATCTACAATCTTAATGCATCAAATGACTCATATGGGTCAGGGTAATCTTGCACTGGTTTTCAGGTGAACCAGAAACCATCCAGACTTTTACGCGGCAACCCAAGAAGTACAGCTCAATCCTGTTTAACAGGAGAGCCAGACACTGCCCAAGCTTAGCCCAAACAGTACAGCTCAATCCCTCCCTATAGGAGAAGCAGACACTATAAAGGCTTCAACGTTACAATCCTAACAGCTCAGCCCAATCCTGTGGCGCAACCACTCAGCTACCAAACACCCTGGTGGACCAATCAAATTACTCTACCGTAGATTTATTCAAGAAAGCAGCTGACCTACCATTGAAGTGGAGTATGTACATCAATAGATTACCTAGTAGCGACTAATATCATTTTTGTTATTTGGTGGCAAACGAATCATATCAATCAACCTTTGAACTAGCCAGTAATTTAAATGACTCAATCCATAACAAAGTTATGAATTGAACCATACCCTAACACAAAGAATTAGATCAAAGCATGACTAAATCTTGTGTGTAACTTCATATCAAAATAAATATATACACAACTTACTGGTCTCCGACTCAAATAAGTTTCATTAACAATATTGAATAAAAGTATACGTATCAATCTATCTGGATCCCATAATTCAATCACTGAACTACCACGTACTGCAATCCAAACACCATTTTCACCAAGACATATTTTTAATATTACATCTAATGGATTATTAGATATACTAATTTGTTTATAATAATCCATTGTTCTAAATATCATATTGTGTTTCGAATAAAAAAAGACAATACAGAAACATTAATTGTAATCAGTTCAGTACAATCATTTAAGGATACCTACTAAACAATTGAATACTACATAAATGGTACATATCCTTCCATGTCAAATAAGTGTTACTTGATGCTGAAGTTTGAATAGAACATTCGAATTTAGTCAGCTACGTTTACTCGTCTTCTAAATAGGCAGACTAAGAGCAGAAAGAGTTACGAGGGTCATTCATCGTCAAAACAACTAGTGAATATAATGGTTATGCAAAGATCACTATTATTGTTGAAGTAAAGCGAACTCATCATTGATGGACTCAGTAGTTTAATGATTCTGTGGTGTATGGTACTTATATCGACAGATATAAGTAGCATATAACTTCAATCAGAAGTGGAGCACTTATCATCAGAAGACTGATGAGATCGAATAGAAGAGAACCAATGAAGGAACGACTAAGATTGATAGATGATTTGTAAATGTAGTATTTAATCTATGCTCTTCTCATTTTATGAAAAACGCTCTGCGATATCGAGTTCACAATGAGTCGATCTGTAAATTTACTTGCTTGAATATATTCATCTAGTAAATTGACAATTAGAAGCTCACATTTTAGGACACAAAACAATCTAGTATGGTCCGTTGATCGAGACAAAGGTTTTTGTTCATTAATTTGATTATTAAAATAGTTTAATGAATAATTTTAGATGAAAAAGAATGGGTCAATTAAAGCTAGACCACCATGGAAAACCTGAAAGCACTGGACGGCCGTTTCATCCTAGTATGATGCTGGTGAACAGCAAGCATCTACGACCCGTCGAACGAGACTCTAACCCGGGACCCTCGGTCTCGCGGGCGAACGCTTAACCTCTAGATCACTAAGTTGGTATCCAACGGTTATAATGTCCAATTTCAATCAATCCAAAAAAATTGCGCCACTGTCCAACATTGTCTTCAATGAGTTACTATCTCACAACGGTAGTCAAGTTCTTTCAGGTTTGTCATGGTGGTCCAGCTTTAATCGACTCCTGAATTCAACCATTAAAATATTATAATATCCACAAAAAACGTAAATGTTAATTTCATGAAACTCACTTAGCATGAAAAATAAATATAGAACTTCCACTTGCACACCATAGTTGACTCTTTGCCAAAAGTACAGATGATATTGGAATAAAACTAATAGTAATGTAATAGATGGAATCACGTGGTTCTTCAAAACCAATATTCTAAATTTTGGCATAATTTTTTTTGGAAAACAGATCAAAATAAAGATCATCCAATGAAGAGATTCAATGGAGTTGAGGAATTCAAATTAAAATCAAGTTCAACCAATCGTCTGTCATGTAATATACTATAGTATTGTCATTCATAGAATGTTTAACAAATTACTTTATTGATGTAGCTATACTTCGGATTTAAGTAATATTGTAGTCAACAAGAACACAGGTGGGGAACAATTGAACGTATGTGAAAATCACAGACTATCTCACTAAAATCTGATAACCATACAGCAAACAGTTAATTTGCAAACTATTACAGTCACTTAGTCAGCTATAACGTCGAACTTGGCATCTATATGTATCGGTCTAAGTTGTCATACCTCGTTAACACAACAAGATGAACACCGAATTCATAGAAGTAGTTAACTTAGTGGTGTTAATATATAAAAGAAAGGTTGTATATAAGGATATAGCACAGGAAGAAATGCAGATATAAAGCAATTTTAATCTCAAGGTTTAAGGTAAGACAGAGAGTGTATACACTTACACCATTGTAGTCGATTCTGAACCATTGTCACCCAGAGTCTCCAACCATTGGCTGCGATAGTCACGCGGACCCCAACCAAGTAGTCTGCATCTGACAACATGGCTCAGACTAGAAGTTAGTGACTTCATGCTCTGATGCCACGTTTTGGTTTGTCCACCCCTAACTCTCTTCCAACCAATTGTCTCAATCTTCACTGTTCCTTCTGCAAATATCAGCCCATCTACTCTGCTTTTTATTGTTCATGCATTTTCATACCAATTGCATTTTGTTTCCATTCTTTCCTTATCAAACTTCTAGTGAAATACATCCTATGCCTGACGATCACCATATACTACTTATGTGGATATAAGTATCCCACATCACAATATGTGGATTTATCAGTATTATTGTTATCATTTCAATGAGTAAAAAGAAAATAATCTCAAATTTTTTGCAATCACCTATAGATTAATTTATCAGTAATGTTAATTAGTCAAAGAAACGTTATTAGCCATCTTATCTACGATGCATCATGAGGTCTGTAACTTACTAAACAACTTTGGATACATAAATTATATGAATATAATAAGACCACCATGGAAAACCTGGAAGCACTGGATGGCTGTTTCGTCTTAGTATGGGACTTATCAGCAGTGCGCATCTACGGTCCCAACTCGCGAGATTCGAACCCAGGACCTATCAGTCTCACGCTCGAGCACCTAACATGTAGATAATTGGGCCGGTATCCAACGGTGTTAATGTCTAACTTCAACTAATTCACGAAATTTCGCCACCGTCCACCGTTGACTTCAGTGAGTTACTATCTTACAAAAACTCCCCTGGTTACATCTAAGCTAGACCACCATGAAAAACCTGGAAGCACTGGACGGTCATTTCGTCCTATTAAGGGACTCCTCAGCTAGTGTACTCCCATGATTCTGCACATGGAAGCCGAATCCAGGACTTTTGGTCTCTCTCTAGAGGACATTTAGTCTCAAGAGGTTAGGGTAAAACAGCTGTCCAGTGCTTCCAGGTTTTCAACGATGATCTAGCTTAGATCACCTCATGAATTCAAGTAATAATATAAATTTTGATTGAAAAAAAAGTATCATAATCATCACTGTTACTAAAATCAAAATTACATACTTCAATAACAACTAATTCACCATTTGTTAAACCAGCATATACTTTATTAGTATGATCATGTAGAAAGTATGCAAATGTTATATCACTGACACTGTCATGAATTGGAATTTGCCAAATTTTTGAACTGTATTTAAAAAAAAACGCATTCAAAAACAATATTATATAGTTTTGGACTTTCTTTTTCAATTATGGTACTGGTTCTGTCCATTATTAGTTTACTCAAATGAAACAACAAAAAATGATCTTACTATTTATGGTAAGCAAGGATGGATAGTGGCAAACAGTAGAATACATCACGTGCGTTTCGTCCTTTTTGAGACTCGTTAGCTGAATTTACCTGCATCTCAGAGTTGATGCTCACTCTGGGACTCGAATCCAGTACCTTTCGCTTCAAACGCCATCGCGTTATCCACTCGGCCAATGAGTCCTGATAGCCACTTGCTTGTGCAATGGGGTAAAGTTTAAATTCAACTTAGTATTGTTTGTTTGAATCTTCCCATTGAAGTTTTAGGACTGCAATTGGTCAGTCTCTTATTCACATATGTGCATACTGTGCGTATTGCCTCAATATAGCATTAATTCACAAGCATGGTAAGCAAAGATAGATAGTGGCTAGCAGTGGAATCCAGGACGCGCATAGATGCAGGTACATCCAGCTGACGAGTCCCAAATAGGACGAAACGCACGTCAAAATGAATTTCACTGCTAGCCAATGTCCATCTTTGCTTACAATGCTTGTGAATTTAGGCTATATCGAGGCAATACGCACAGTATGCACATTTGCCAATTAGAGACTGACCAGTTACAGTTCTCAAACATCAATGGGAAGATTCAAACAAAACAATACCAAGCAATTTGATCCTACTATTTGTTTCTTGATAAAATACTGATAAATATTACTCTGCCGTATGAATTGTAAACAGCGAGACTATAAGTTATGGACGATCTTCGAACGAAACTTGAGTGACCTTGAGAAATATTAGCCAATCAGGTAACAGTATAGAGTGAAAATGTATTATAAAAAACCAAAGAATTAAAATGGATAAACTTCTTTTACATAATCAAAGAACTTGTCAGAGTTATAAGTTCAAAGGTTGTAAAATCGTAATGCATAAGTTAGAGGAACTCATCCATATGACTCCATAATAGTCGGTCTCTGAAGTGAATACTCTTTCAACCTCAACCACATAGCTTCAGTATTGTTTGTGTGTACACTGGTTGTGTAAGCTTACCATTTTTATTACTCATATATCTCTACAAAACTCATACCACTAAACAGTAACATCTGCAAATAATGCAGCCAATGTTATTGGTTCCTTTATTATACAGTTTGCAACAGTTATTATAATTTGCCTTAGTCTCAATTTGGATCGGATGAAAAATATTCCTATTCTAGCATATTTCTTCCTCCAACTTATATTACACCAAAAAATATCATCATAGTAGTCTGGAGAAGGTCTACAAGTCATTTAATTATCACAATTACAAATAAAGGAACATTTTAGTAGTCCCATCTATTGTAGACGCTTAATTCTCACGTCTTCTCTATAATCCGCTGTGAACCGATCATATATGAGCATCTGGTACTGAAACTGGCGCCGTGACCTTGAAATCCCTCAAACTCTTCTGATTGGCTCATCCATAAATTAATAGTCTTGCCTTGTAAACTTGATGATACTCAGTTCAGTAGCTTACATTTGAGTTTGATAATATTGAAGGATAAAATGGTGAAACTATAATTTATGGACGAACCAATCTGATTTAGGATAAAACGTCTCGAATTTTGACACGAAATTCATTCACTCATTTGGTTATGTATTATTTTGTTCTTTTAGCTGATATCATTTCTCGATGGCAACTCTAAATCTAAATCCTAACCCTTACCATTAACTGTAGATCATAATCCTTATTCTTCACATTACTTTATAACCCTCCTTTGGCTCCAGTAAGTTGGTGGATATTCTCAAGGTCACTTTAACTTCGCTCAAAGGTATACCATAAATTATAGTCTCATCAATAAAAATGTTGCAGTGAATGAAGACTTAGTGTAGATAACAAAAGAGACAGTAGTTCCAGAACCTAACTTAACCAGATAACTAAGGAAATGATCATTAAGCCGTTCAGCATTCGATGTTGATCTTTTTCAAAGAAAACTCTATAGTTGTTCATTAGAGAAGTGTATTTACATCGTTTAAGTGTCCTCTCATACTTTAGTCATCTCGTAGAGGTTAGTATTATGTCAAGCCCATATAAGTTATTTTATCCTCTAGACAGACCATTCTGTTCATTCTACACAAGCCGCATTTTTATCCTGTCATTTATTCGCTTATTAATCCTGATCATTTTCTATGTGATTTCTTGTATGCTAATTACTTATCCAATCGATCATATGTTTGTAATTTATTTTTGTTTGACCACAAATATCAGTTAACGCTTGATGAAATTGAGTTGGCTTACTCGCCTTCAGCGTGCCTCATCTCGTCTAGTTTCACTCTCTCCTCTTGTTTTCCTTCGCTTCGTTTCCCCAGTTCTCTATTCAGATCAATGATTGTGTGAAATATACGTATTCAAAATTCATTTTCGTATTTCACTTGTTAATTTCTATTATTTACAAATGCAAGTTAAGTTGGTGATTATATACAGGAATAGCCTTGATGTATATTTCAATAAGAATCAGTAAACGATCTAATTGGAGTCAAATAAATGGCTAATAATGTGGTGAGCCTGATGATGAACCTAACGTAGCAAACTACGTCGATGAAGAACCTTCCACACTCTATACTTCCAACAAAAGAACTCAACGAAGCTTACTCAATTTATAACCTTATCAATAATATCACCATAGTATTGTATTATGATTTGTAATCATAATCACTAACCTATACACTTTATAGTGTTAGTGTATGTGAAAACAAAAATACAAAAAAATGAATAAATCAAATTACAAAGCCATCGAAAAGGAAAACTTACTTTCGTATCACTGAATAAGCACATAATTGTTTAGACATCATACCAAGTAGAATAATTTCATTACTAAATGCGCATATACAACTAACACGAGATTCTAACTAAATTGAAATAAATAAATAATGATCAAAAGGGGTTTGATAGAGATTTTAGTAATTTTATAGAGTTGAGATCATTAGTCAATTGAAGCTGGATTCGAATCTCGCTTGCGAGTGCGGGATCATGGATGCGCACTGCTGAGGAGTCCCATAATAGGACGAAACGGCTGTTCAATGCTTCCAGGTTTTCCATGGTGGTCTAGCTTACATTGACTCATGATTTCAACTCTATAAAATAAGTAATGGTTTCAATGATTAAATTTATTATATCACAACAAGAATAATGAATGATATTGAGCAACTAAACTATATATATTCATGTCCCTCTTATTATAAGCTTTATTTTCCGTTCTTAAGTCATCTTCAGTTTACTAATTACAATCTCCCACATTAACAACCACTTTTTGGTTCGATCTTGTACAAATGTTATTTTCTAATTTATGGTACAATGTGATCTATTCGGTTTGTGTATAAACTCAATATGTTTGAAATATATGATTTATATCGCAGAGGCTGAGATCAACGATCTGGACTCTAACAGGAAGGGTTAAAAAGGAAGAAAGACCAATAAGGATTCTAGACTGCGCGTACAAGTTTACGCGTTACTGATCTGATCTCTAATTGGCGGTATCATTACGTCATATATTGATATGGGCAGAAGGCCACAAGATGTAACAAGATTGAAGAATTATTATGTAATGGCAATGATCTAAATATCTGTTTTAAGTTTATTCTTAATTTATATTTCTAAAATCTGTTATTCGTTAATTTCGTGATTTTTTCTCTGGGAGAGACATTCTAGTAAGTTCTAAAAAACGTATTCAGTCAATCTTGGAGTTTGAATAACGATAATATAACGGTCGTGAGTAAACAGGATTTACTAACCTAACAACCAGTTGCATTTAAATAAGTATATTATATTTTCACGGTTGAAATCATGAGTACGTTGAAGCTAGACCACCATTGAAAATCTGGAAGTACTGGATGATCGTTTCTTCCTAGTATGCGGACTACTTAGAAGTGCACAACCGTGATCCTGCACACAGAAGTCAAGCACAAGACCTTCGGTCTCGCACTCATTATCGAAGAGTCCTATAGTAGAACGAAACAGCCTTCCAGTGCTTTCAAGTTTTCACTAGTGAACTAGATTTGATAAACTCGTGATTGCAAATTGATTATTAAACGATGATTAGTTCTAAAGATTTAGCAATATGATATTGATTATTACTAAGCTGCTAACTGATGTGTTAGATGGTTTTCGATAGGCAACAACAAACACCATTTGGACTAGGTTTTGCGTTATCTGGAACTCGCTAGCTAGGCGTACCTGTAACCGTGAGACTCGTATCCTCATCATTCAGCTACAGATCCTCAGATATTACTGATGGGCTATTCACCTTCCTAGAGACCTCCTGTTGGTCTGAGGTGCTTATCATCGATTGATCTATTAGCAGTAACCAGTTTCTTGTTTATCTAGTCTTTTAGTATTTGTCATTCTCAGTGTATCAACTTGCGATATGGGCGTTGCTTTACAAGAATCGACTTCACAAAAAAAGTGTTACCTCTCTCAAGACTACAGATAGCTTTGTTGATAAATTTCAAGTAACATGAAACGTATGTCAAGCTGGATTTGCCCTTTACTAACTCCAAACACTTAATATCTCAAGGCAGTGTATGTGATGTTGATCATTTAGATTGGAAGCCATATTATAAATTGGTCTATGGAACTTGATCAGCGACTAAATAAACAACATTTTGGTTACTATTCAGTAGTCAATCAATTAAGCCAACTATATAACCTTCACTAACTATTATAGAAAAAGAAGCATGTTTCTAATCCAGTAATAATCTTTCATAAGTAAACATAATATCAATCTGTAATATAATGTGTAAGAATTATGTACTCACTTCATAACCGATACTTTGCATACAGTTTGATGTGACAACAACTTCTGAAATTTGACTGTATGATTTATCGCCATAACAAATCCACAAATGCTCTATAGCAAAAAAGATCATATATAGGCATTATTAATCGATTAGATGGACATCATGCCCTGGTTGATACAAGCTTTGTATGAATTGGTTCAATGGTAAACAATTATGTAATAGTTCAATATATCCTTTTAATCCCAACAATGATTTTGTATCTGTATAGGGTTGTGGAGATTGTAATGTTTTTTATTGAGATCATGAACCGATTGATGTTAGATCAACATTGAAAACCCGGAAGTACTTGATGGCCGTCCAGTACTTGTTTATATGAGTAGTTACGAATTTAAAGACATTTAAAGTATTTGTATATATGCAAATGACTGCATGTTTGTTTATATTATTCCATGTGATATCATCCATTCTTAAAAGAACAAGGAGTTGTAATTATCCCATCCTCTAAGCAAATCTAGTTTTCGCACAAAAGTTATTAATGAAATTTAAATATTAACATCAGTTCTTGAAGTCACTAAATTATGGTGTGAGCCATCTTGATAGATGTAGACTATTTGGTCGAAGTTCACGTGACTATCGTAACCAATGGTTGGAAACTCTGGGATCGATCGATAGCGATGGCGTAGGTGTATACACTCTCTGTCTTCCCTTAAACTGTGAGATTAAAATTGCTTTATACTTTTCTTTCTTCGAACTTATTCTTTCTTCCTGTACTATATCCTTATACACAATCGTTCTTTTATATATTACTACCATTAAAATAACTAATTCCATGAATTCGGTGTTCATGTTTTTGTGCTAATGAGGTGTGGCAACTTGGGCCGATGTAGATGTGTCCCTGGCCCTACGTTGTAGTTGACTGACTAACTAACTGATTAACAACAATCATGACTATTAAAGTGTTCACTGTATTCATACTACTGGTCTCTAAAATGAAGTCACCAGTGACCATACAATTTGTATGAGTCGTATATATATATATATTGTTGACAACAACACTGTCACCAAAATTCTACCAAAACAATGTCTTAATTACTCCTTTCAAATAATTCACTATTTACACTCCATCAATCTGATGATGACTGTGGATTGACGTACATTTATTATTTTATTTTTATCCTTAACGATGGTGAACTTAATGATGATTTAATCGTAGGGAACATTTATCACAGCTTATATCTCAAATTTTTGCTTTAAACATTATACTACTAGTGAGTAGGTCGTGCGTGAATCATAAATTACATTGAATTTAACACTCAACATGAATTACAATGGAATAACAATACATCTTGCATTTCTAGAAAAACATTCAGCCTCATTCCACTCACATATATCCAAACATAAATGTTTCTTAAGCATTTAAATAGTTTTCAGATAATTTACTACACTTTTGTTGTCTATGTTCATCATAATGAGACCTTTTGTTAGTCAAACACACTTAGTTGATATACTCTCAGTAACATTGAAGGAGTTTAAAAGTCTCTGATTGATTTAGGAATATTCTCTAGGTTAGTTGTAGAAAGTTTGTCTTGGTTGTTCAGCAACAAACAGTATTCAGCTTATTATTACCTTGTTAGCTTAATTTTTCTAAATTTCTTTTTGAATTCATTTTGTTATCTATTTTAGAGATCGCTGTCCATTAATGACAATAGCCTTAATGAATAATTTTTTTTGTTTGCATGTCAATATGTTGACGATTATTATGAAATGTTTGCGTGATTATAACTGTTAAGCACAACTATTCAACCAGATATTTCTAGTATTTTCTTTGAAATGTTCAACCACGTCTGTTGTGAGATAACAACTCACTGAAGACAATTAGTGAACGGTTGCTTGAACTTCGTGGATTGATTGAGGTTAGACATTAACACCGTTGGATGCCGACCAGCTCAGTGGTCTATCAGTTAAGTGCTCTGGTGCAAGACTGGTAGGTCCTGGGTTCGAATCTCACTCGTGAGGCGTGATAGTGCGTGCGCACTGCTGAGGAGTCCCATAATAGGACGAGTTGTCCGTCCAGTGCTTCCAGGTTTTCGATGGTGGTGTAGCCTCAATTGACTCATGATTTCAACTATGAAAATACCGAAATCTCCACAAAACCTCTTCTGATTATATTCATTTAGTATTGTTTAATGGTATCATTTTTATAAGTATAATCTTACCGTTATCATAAAATGTGATTGCTTGAATTACTGCTTGATTTTCTTTAGTAGATCGCTTGTGTTGAACATGATTCTATTGATTAAAATTTAAGAATAAAGATAGATTTGTGTTATGGTTTAAACGTTCCTATAAAGCATTCAAAAACAAAAAATATACTTACTTATTTGCCTCTGTTATCTATCGTCAAGGAGCATAGGCCACCCGAAAAAATTCTCCATCCAACACTATTCTGGGCAGTGCTTCCCAGTTCTTAGCAGTTAAAATTCATCCTTTTCATATCTGCTTCTATTTCCTGACATAGTGTGTTCATTGGCCTTCCTCTTTTCTGCTTCTCTTTAGGATTCCAAGTTAATCCTTATCTCGTGCTGCAATTTGGTGCTTTCTTCTATGTATGTCTAATCCGATTCCAAAGTTTCTTCCTGAGTTCCTCTTCACCTAGGAGCTGGTATATCTTCTCCCACAGAAGGCTGTTGCTGATAGTATCCGTCCAACTGATATTGAGTATCTTATGTAGATAATTATTTATAGATACTTGTACCTTCTTGATGATGGTTGTGTTAGTTCTCGAAGTATCAGCTCCGTACGGTAGAACTTCCGTGATATTCGTATTGTAGATTTTCACTTTGATATTGGTTGACAGTTGTTTTAAGTTCTTTAGGTTCTTCAAATGTAAGAATGGTATCCTTGTTTTACTAATCCTCGCCTTGACGCCTACATCGGATCCTTCTTGTTCATCAATGGTGTGTGAGAGAACAATTATTTCCAATGATTTTTATCAGGCTTTATTATTATTATACATCCATAGTTGGTTATAAATTCACTTAGTATTGTTTATTTGCTTGGTATTGTTTTGTTTCAATCTTCCCATTGATGTTTGAGAACAGTAACTGGTCAGTCTCTTATTGAAATATGTGCATACTGTGCGTATTGCCTCAATATAGCCTAAATTCACAATCATGGTAAGCAAAGATGGATAGTGGCTAGCTGTGGAATCCAGTTCAGACGCGCGTTTCCTCCTATTTCGGACTCGTCAGATGGATGTACCTGCATCTCAGAGTTGATCTTCACTCTGAGACTCGAATCCAGTACCATTCGCTTAAAACGTCATCTCGTTATCCACTTGGACACTGAGTCCTGATAGCCACTTAATTGTGCAATGGGTGAAGTTTAAATTCCTTAGTATTGTTTGTTTGAATTTTCCTATTGATGGGTTCGAGCCCCAGAGTGAACATCAACTCTGAGATGCAGGTACATCTAGCTGATGAGTCCGAAATAGGATGAAACGCGCGTCCTGGATTCTACTGTTAGCCACTATCCATCTCTACTTACCATAGTTGGTTATGTTAGAATGGACAAAACAAGTCATGTATATAAATGACCAATGTATATAAATGAGCAAATTAGCAATGATTATAATACATTCAAAATGTATAATTTGTTAATATGTAAAAGGTTCTAGGAATGAAGTGGAAAAATTCACTGTCAAGTGTTGAGCTATAATCGGTATGATAAATAAGAAGTAAAATATAGAGGATTTTTCAGATGATATTGATGGAAAAATTCATAAGGAGTGAGAGATATGAATTCGAAATCAAAACTATGGAAGAGGTAAATATCAAGAAAGAAGTAACGGGAAAGACTTTAAAATGTAACTTATGTATCGTAATCATAGAAGTTAAATATACCTTTTTTAGATACTTGATATGTGGTAGATAATCGCTAGTTGATCTCATTTGCTTGAGGTATGTGTGGGAGGCGTAATCTTGTTCCTGTTCTTAGGGTTTTTATTCTAAAAGATGAAGTGGGATGGCGATATTCATACATTTAGTGACTGTCTTTCCCAGTTAAATTGGTACATTATCACGAGCTAGCAAGGATATGATCTTTTAAGTACAGTCTATGTAACTAGCCTTACTTGCCCACTGTAATATTCTTATCATGGATTCACAACTGCAGGGCCTGTTAGTGAACTTGACGGAAATAGTTGTTCTTTCAGATATTCTTTGTTTTAGAATATACAAATAAATAAAAGAGAGAACCTTGAAGGTCACTTACCCATACCATTTGACGTAAATGAAATTACCTGTTTGTTGAAATGATATATCTTCTAAACTATGGGACTGATGAACTGTTTTAATGGATGACCAGCTAAACAATACAGGGATTTTACATGTCAATTAACAGTTAAAGAACTCGATTTTCAACCAGTAGAACTAAATTTGGGTCTAGGCTCCGTCTAATTTGGTTTAAGCAGATATGTGACGCTGCTAGATCTCCTACAACATAAATGTAACTTCAAGTGTTCAAACTATTGCATTTCTGCATCAGATTAAGTTGTTCTAATGAAATTAAAAATATTAATTATCAGAAGGGGTTTTGTAGAGATTTAGTATGTTTCATAGTTGAAAGCATCAGTCAATTGAAGCTAGACCACCATGGAAAACCTGGAAACACTTCAATTGGCTCATGCTTTCAACTATGAAACATAGTAAATCTCTACAAAACCCCTTCTGATAATTAATATAATAATATGCTCACTAGTGACTTCGGGAAGTACATCCAGGGGCTCTAGTGAGAAGCAGTGACCAGTGGAGTGCAAACCACGTCTATCGTGAGATAGGAACTCACTGATGAAAATTGGTGAATGGTTGCTCAACTAGTGGATCAGTTGAAGTTAGACATTAACACCGTTGGATGCCGGCCGGTTCAGTGGTCTATCGGTTAAGGGCTCTGGCTCGAGACTGGTAGATCCTGAGTTCGGATCTCGCTCGCGAGGCGGGATAGTGGATGCGCACTGCTGAGGAGTCTCATAATGGGACGAGTTGGCCGTCCAGTGTTTTCAGGTTTTCGATTGTGGTCTAGCTTCAATTGACTCATGCTTTCAACTATGAAATTAAGAATAGTCCTTAGATTTCTTCACCCAAACGGACTATTTCAGAACTAAATTCTTTTTTAACAATCTACGTTAATAACTGTACTCCCCGTGAATAACACAAAACTCTCGTTACTTGTGAATGTCTTCGCATTTGTAGATACCTTTCTTTATTCTTCTTTGGTTTGTCGTTAGTTATCAATAAAATATCGTTATCTTAAAATATCATACTTGATTTAGATTGTATTCCTGACTGATCGGTAGAATTTTTTATGTAGAACGTATCAATATTTAAGGAAATAATGAAATGTCATCTCACCCACTGTTAAGTAACTTAGACTGATAAATTTTTTTAAAGAAAGTGCAATGAATTGATTATAACCAAAAATATAACAATCAGATGGATTGAGATCAACTGGTTAATCATTTATATTCAGGGAACACCGATGATTACTCCTCAAGAACGTCAATCTATGACCCCACACGAGAATGGGCTGTTAATCTTCTTGTCTTGTGGAGAACATAGTAATTTTAGATCTCTTTGTCGTAGAGTTCCGACGAGTTTTCTCATCAAATTGAATCGGATTGAGAGATTATAGATTGAATGCAGTTAGGAATTTAGGCAATAAGATTTTGACTTAACCCCCTAGGGACACCACGTTTGCTGTGACATCTAAAAAGTCTAAATTTAATATGTTCTATCTCAAAGTTTTCGACGATTCAAACGACATTCTCATTAAATCAGATACTAATCTTTACAGACTGTCCAAGTAAATAGCATTAAATATCTTGTTAAAGTTCCATATCGAGGAGTGATCTCTGTTAAGCAACCATTGGAAATTAAGAAGAACACTGAAGAGCTGCTCTTTCCTAGAACAGGACTCATCAGCAGTTCAAAACCACCACTCTGCCAGAGATAGGACCCAGGATCTACGGGTTTTACAGCTAACTCTTGACCTTTAAACCGTTGATTTGACATCCGTCTTTTTGTTTGCAATTTTGATTTATTTGAGTCATGGTCTGACTATTATCCGATAAACCACTGAGCCGGCATCCAACGGTGTTAATGTCTAACTTCAACTTCGGTTAAGGGCTCTGGCTCGAGACTGGTAGGTCCTGGGTTCGAATCTCGCTCGTGAGGCGGGATCGTGGATGCGCTCAGGAGTTTCATGATAGGACGAGTTGGCCGTTCAGTGCTTCCAGGTTTTCGATTGTGGTCTAGCTTCAATTAACTCATAATTTCAACTATGAAAATTATAAGAACAACAAATATGACTACAATAAAAGAAAACTTACTTGATTCTCAATAAATTCATCAGGTGATTCTTTCATAACGTTTTGCCAATATCCTTTTTTGATAGACATTTTTTTACTTAATATTTCATAATGATAAGCACGTCGAGTTGCAATGAGTTGAGGTTTAGGAAATGGTCGAAGTTCTTCAAAAGCTGTCTAAAAAAAATAAATAATAATAGTTAGTGATGTGTATAATTTTACTATGTGAACGAACCGACGGTATTCAGAATCCTAACTCTAGGGGTTATTTCAAAAAATTCAAACAGCAGAGACTGACAGTCTGCACAGTCTAGGGTGTTTGTGTAGTCTCTCAATGTCACCAAGAAGTAAAACTTTAGCATTATTTAGTGATTTTTCAAAGTAAACGCAAAGTTTTGAAAATTTGAATTCAAGTAACTATCTGAATAAGTCTTATCATTATCAGTCAGTCAGCTACAACAGGGATCAAGAGGTCCACCTATCGACTTGGAATACACAGATGATATAGTCCTATTTGGTGAAGATGTCGATAAAATACAGAGTCTTTTCGTAGTATTCAATAACGATGTCAGAATGTTTGGGATACTATTCTCCACCTCAAATTCAAGTTGCAGCTTGCATCAACACCTGAAATAAGGATAGGGAGTGAGGTAGTCGAACGCATCGACAACTTCACTTATCTTGGAAGTCTGATCAGCCCTCATGGCTTATTGTCTCAGGAAATCGCTATATAGATTCAAAAAGCGCGTTTGGCCTTTACCAAATAACGTGACCTATGGCGAAGTCTAGATATCCGTTTATCAATTAAGGGACGAGTATACTGCCCAACAGTTCTCTCTATCCTACCTTACGGTTGTCAAGAATTATTCTCTCACTCCTAATCCTAAGCCTATTCCATTCCTAATTTCTAACGCTGATCTATCGTATCACTAAACGCTCTTTTTCGATAGGCTGATTAGTCGTTCAAGGTTGTTTGTAGAGTACAATTTTACCTGACGATATATTAACCCAAATTCATTTGTATAATACTAAATATTGATCAGTAATAAGGTTTAGTATACACATATCTCATGCATTTAGAAGCTTGTAAGTTGTTCACAACTGTATAATCCTGATTGTGTTATTCATTAGTACACTGAATATATTTCTGTCTCTCCATATAATATACAGGATATAAAGTAGTAGTAAAGATTTGGTTTGTGATTGGTCTACTTTAAGGCTAATAGAAACTTAACAAAGACTAGTCATAAACCATATCCTCAGACTGTAAAGATTATATTAATTATCAGAAGGGATTTTGTGGAAATTTAGTATTTTTCATAGTTGAAATCATGAATCAATTGAAGTTAGACCACCATCGAGAACCTGAAAGCACTGGACAGCCGTTTCGTCCTATTATGGGACTCCTCAACAGTGCGCATCCACGAACCCGCCTCACGAGCGAGATTCGAATCCAGGACCTACCAGTCTCGAGCCAGAGCCCTTAACCGATAGACCACTGAGTTGGGCAGTCAGGCAGACTATGAAGTTATTCCACTGCATAAATAGAAGAATATGGATAAGTTTATATGTCTTGAAACGTTGTTTTTTAGTTATCACAAATTGTATTACGTTTTACTTAGTATTGTTTGTTTGGATCTTCCCATTGATGTTTTTAGGACAGCAACTGGTCAGTCTGTAATTGGCATATGTGCATACTGTGCGTATTGCCTCGATATAGCCTAAATTCACAAGCATGGTAAGCGAAGATGGATAGTGGCTAGCAGTGAAAGGTACTGGGTTCGAGTCTCAGAGTAAACATCAACTCTGAGATGCAGGTACATCCAGCTGACGAGTCACAAATACGACGAAACGCGCGTCAAACTGGATTCCACTCGCTAACCACTATCCATCTTTGCTTACCATATATTACTTATTGATATGCTATGTGTGATATGCTTTTCAATCATCTTATTTATATGCTCTCGATCCAAAAATATTTCGTACTAGAAGGACATGGACATTCTAGTTAGCTACAAGAATAACAAAATTTATCAAACTTACTTTAATTAAACCATCAACGTCATTAGTTAATCGAGTTGCTGCTTTAAGACATTTCCAAAAACTAATTGTATCACTTTGTTCCAATAGCATATCTTGATTACGTTTAAGAATTGCCACAGCAAATCGAAACAATGTTTCTGAACCTTCTAGCAGAAACACATCCCAAATTCGTATTAATGTCTATAAACAGTAAGGAAAATGTATAAAATTTCATGATTCACTTTTAAAAGAATATAATCAGCATATATATAATATGATATACGTACAGTGGAACTATCAAGTAGCGATTGAAAGCTTTCAAATTGAAATTCACACAATCATTCTAATCTATAACTTAAGACTTGAGTCAGTCAACCAGCTAAAACGTAGGACCAGGCACACATATTCATCGGTCCAAGTTGCCATACCTCGTTAGCACAACAAGATGAACACCGAATTCATAGAAGTAGCTAATTTAGTGGTGGTAGTATATAAAAGAAAGGTTGTATATACGGATACAGTATAAGAAGGAAGACAGATATGAAGCAATTTTAATCTCAAGGTTTAAGGGAAGATAAAGAGTGTATACACCTACATCTTTGTGATCAATTCTGAGCCATGTCACCTAGAGTCTCCAACCATGGTTACAATAGCCACGCGGAAATCAACCAAGTAGTCTGCATCTACCAGTACAGCTCAGACTAGAAGTTAGTGACTTCAAACACTGATGTCACGTTTTGGTTTGGCCTCCCCTAACTCTTCCAACCATCCCCTACACTAGTCAGCATAACGCGTCGTTGTAATCAGTGTTCAGGCATATGTAACACGTAGCCCAACCATATCAGTCGATGAAGATTCATCACCTCATCAACTGATTTACCATCATTCCCTAATGCCTTGTGTCTAACCTCAGTATTACTTACCCGGTGATCCCAGTAGATGTGAGCAATATTTCTAAGATATCTATGGTCAAATACTAGGACCTTACAAGCATCTTCTTCTCCCAATGGCCACGTTTCTCAGCCGTGAAGTAAAATAGAACGAACTGCTGCGCAGTATACTCGTCCCTTAATTATTAGAAGGATATCTCAACATCGTCATAGATCACGTAATTTGGCAAAGGCCAAACGCACTTTTTGAATCCGTGCTGAGATTTCGTCAGACATCAAGCTATTAGAGCTAATCAAACTTCGAAGATTAGTGAAGTTGACGACGCGTTCGACTACTTTACTGCCTATTCTTAGTTCAGGTGTTGACGCAGGCCAGTCCTGGAGTAACAATTTACATTTAGAGGGGGAGAAACGCATCCCAAACATCCTGGCATTATTACTCAGTTCTAACAGAAGACTGCATTTTTTCAGCATCTTCACCAAACAGGACTATGTCATCTGTGTATTCTAAGTCGCTTTGTGGAACCCCTGGTAGGAGATCAACTCCTGAAAACTCAGTCGAACAGAGTGTTATTTCCAGCAACAGGTCTATAATGAAGTTAAACAAAAACTGGGATAGTGGACAGCCTTGACGGACACCACTTGGGGTTGTAAAATCAGATGACAGTTCGCCATAAGCTCTCACTCGACTGGTAGTGTTCGAGTAAAGAGCCTTCACAAGGTTTATGTACTTCTCAGGTACACCTTTCAATGACAGACACTGCCACAGAACCTCTCGGTCTACAGAGTCAAATGCTGCTTTCAAGTCAAGAAAAACTATCATTGTCGGACGCCGATAAGCGTGTCTGTGCTCTAAAACTTGACGAATGGTGAATATGTGGTCGATACAGCCACGACCAGGTCTGAAGCCAGCCTGATTTTCTCGTGTTTGCAGTTCACGAGTCTTAGTTAGGCGCCCGATAATTATTGAGGCTAGTATTTTAGATGCTATGTTAGTCAAACTAATCTCTCTATGGTTATCGCAGGATGATTTGGACCCCTTCTTATATATTGGGATAATCAGTGATTGTGGCCAGTCGGTTGGGATTATGTCCAACTCCCAGATTTTAGTCAGATTATTAGTCAACCTAGTCGCTAAAATTGGACCCCCATATTTAAAGACCTCTGAAGCCAATCCATCTGGACCAGCTGCTCTTCCTCGTTTCAGATTAGTGATAGCCTTTTGAACTTAATGTAGGGTCGGGGGACCTACTTCAATGTTCCCTTCAGGCTGTCTGGGAATAGTCGGTAGTTGTGCAGTAGCTGAAGTGACTCACAACGTCATAATTTCGATTATTCTCTGAGTCCTCTGGGTCCGCGTGACTATCGTAACCAATGGTTGGAGACTCTAGGTGACATGGCTCAGAATTGATCACAATGATGTAGGAGTATACACTCTTTATCTTCCCTTAAACCTTGAGATTAAAATTGTTTCATATCTGTCTTCCTTCTTATACTGTATCCGTATATACAACCTTTCTTTTATATACTACCACCACTAAATTAGCTACTTCTATGAATTCGGTGTTCATCTTGTTGTGCTAACGAGGTATGGCAACTTGGACCGATGAATATGTGTGCCTGGTCCTACATTGTAGCTGACTCACTGACTGACAGATATCTTTAAACTTAGATTCCGTTAGCTCTTTCAAACCATATCTATTATTTTCTAGTTTTCCGCTGAAGCTGATATTATTATTTCCTTTACCATGTATCACATCTCACTTCATTTCTTATTCCGTTCATTTATTCATTCCCTACCTTAGATTATTCATAGTTGCAATATATACTTGTTGTCATGTTGAATTTAAGTTTAGGTAGCAACTATATATCGTATGGTTGTCTTTCTGAAGTTTTTAAAAAAACTTATGGTCTTCAGTAGCTTTTATCAAACACCTTACAAAAGGTAGTTGATCATTATACTCATCTCGCTTATGTAATTATAGTTACTGTAGTGAACAAGAACACGACTGGGGACAACTGAATGTTTTTAAGCACAAATTGCAGACTATCTCACTAAATTCTGAAAACCATACAATGAATAGTTAATTTGCAAAATAACGATCAATTGTCTCAATCTTCACTATTCCTTCTGTAAATATCAGTTCATCTTCTCTAATTTCATTGTTTATGCATTTTTCTACCAATTACGCTTCATTTCGGTTCATTCCTTATCGGTCTTCTGCCAAAATACATTTTATGTTTGACCATAGTTCTATACTACTTATATGGATATAAGTAGACCACACTTCACTCGTCCACACTTTAATGCATTCGTTCATACGATGGTTCTGCTCGCCGTGTGCACCTTTTTCTTGTACTACAGTCTGTGCCAAGCTTTCCGTCAAAATGTTGAGTATGTGGCGCCCTGACCTCGATAGTTGCGTCGACATGCCGGGAACCAACATCCGACTACCATCCGGCATCTGGGACGTTCAACATCCGTACTTTACCGGCCTGCTAAGCCATCTACATCCGATGTCCGCCGAGCATTCACACTACACTACATCTTCATATCCCAACTTGGTAACAATAAAATGTCATATATATATATATGAAACATGAATGATTATCATTGATTATACTTACTTCAAATGGTACAGAATCATAGAAAACAGCTAAAAACCAATTTAATGTTACAGCTGATATATCAATACCCAAACGTTTTAAATGTGATGAAAGACGTGGTAATTTTTCATGAACTATTTCTTTTAATACAAGTTGATCAACTTGGGCATCAATTAAACCAGAATTAAAATAATTCTCTGGTAAAAACCGTTCCAATATAGCAATTAAACACCTGAAAAATAGAATTATGGTTGTATAAAATAAAAGATATAAATTATGATAATACAAAGATGAAATCAATTATTATCGTGGATGTGCACTGCTGAGGAATCCCATAATAGGATGAAACGGACGTACAATGCTTCCAGGTTTTCCATGGTGGTCTAGCTTCAAATGACTCATGATCTCAACTTTGAAATACACTGAAATCTCCACAGATCCCCTTATGATTATAATCATATGCTCACTAGTGACTGACTTCAAGATACATGTCCTAGAGTTCTAGTGGGAAGCAGTGACCAGTGTAGTTCAACCACGTCTGTTGTGAGATAACAACTCACTGATGGTCTGTCGGTTAAGGGCTCTGGCTCATAACTGTGAGGTCTTGGGTTCGAATCTCGCGAGTGCGGGATCGTGGGTGCACACTGCTGAGGCGTCCCATAATAGGACGAGTTGGCCGTCCAATGCCTCCAGGTTTTCGATGGTGGTCTTATTAATTATTTATTTATTTAAACACAAATATATTGGTACAAAAGGGCACCAGGTACATATGCGCCACACAAAATAATGAAAGTAGGAAGAGAAGGGATGAAAAGATAAGGCGGACTGAAATGTACAACCAGAAGACTCTTTCAGTCAAGAAAGTTAGAACCATTCTTTATAAAGAAATTAAAAGAAGGTTACTGCAGCATCACCACTGGCTTCTATTCTGAGCCATATCTGATAACGTCTCTAGCCACTGTGTTGCACCATCTCTCGGACCCCAGTCAGGAAGGACCAACAGAAGTCAGTCATGTGCAGCTTTCCTTCATACCACGACACCATATTAAACACTGACCTCCTCTCCGCCTTTTTCCAACCAGTCCTAGTGTCGGCAAATAATGCCCAACGTGGAAGTCTCTGGGACGACATTCGTAAAACATGTCCAAGCCACCGAAGTCGGCGTTTCACGATGGTGACACCAATTGAATTATCGTCTCTGCGCCCGAACACACGATGCCGAACATCTGCATTACTAACATGGTGTTGCCACTGGATGTCAGCAATCCTTCGGAGACAACGATGATCGAACACAGAGAGACGTCTAACATCCTCAACTTGGAGAGGCCAGGTTTCACAAGCATAGAGCAAAACTGCTCTCACCGACGCATTGTAGATCCAACCTTTTACAGCCAGACTAACATCACGAAGGCGCCAAAGATGGCCCAGATTGGCATAAGCCGCTCTGGCTTTCATTATACGTGCATCAATCTCATCATTCACGCCACCACCAGCACTTATATAGCTACCCACATACACGAACTTCTCAACTACTTCGATCAGTTCACCATCCAGGGTGAGTACAGGATTAGAATCCTGCCAGTCTTGTAGAAGTACTTTGCACTTGGAGGGTGCAAAGCACATGCCGAACCTGCGGACACTGATTGCCAACTGATTAAGTGCTGATTGCATGCCTTGGGCATTATCGCACAGTAAGACAATATCATCCGCATACTCAAGGTCGAGAAGTCGTTCTCCAGGCAACATATCCACACCGCCATTACTTACATCCATCAGAGCTGTTTCCAGGATGTCGTCAATAGCAAAGTTGAAGAGGAATGGTGAGATCGTGCAACCCTGATGGTGGTCTAGCTTCAATTGACTCATGATTTCAACTTTCAAATATATTAATATCTCCACAAATCCCCTTCTGATTATCGAGTTAGTTCTTATTAGTCAGTAACAAGTTTTTTCATTCTTGAGTAACTTATCACTTCTAATCACATTTTAATATAAATGTCAATTAGTTATACAAACATTGATATAATTCCTTGAGTTTCTAAGTGTTATATTCTGTGTAGAATTATGAATGGTAACTCTGAGGACTATTTACGGACCAATGTGATATGTATATTTCCTATTCTGTAGTTGTTAAGTAATTAAAGTATCCATATTCGTGTCCCTCTTATCATAAGCTTCATTTTGACCCATAGAATATGATTATACATTTTACCATTCTTGTGTTATCCCCAATCTACTAATAAATGTCCCCCCTTTTCACAACCACATTTGGCTAAATATTGTACAAATGTTATTTTCTATTTTATGGTACGATGTAGTCTGTCTATTCGGCATACAAACCCAGTATGTTTGAAAATAATGATTCATATTGCTGAGGCTGTTATTGGTGTTCTGAACTTAACTGGCTTGTCTAGGCAGATAGCAGGACTGATAAGTACACAAAACTGTTCATACGGCTTTCATGTATCATTGCTCTGAGCGATAATTCACTCCTCTCTGATTGACGAGAATCAGCACGTTCACATATATCAAAAAGAGCACGTTCATATATCAAGTGGGCAAGAACGCACCCGATCGATATAACACTAAGAACAAACCGATTAGTAAAGAAGTGACAAATCACCATAGATGTCGATTGTATGATATATTCTACATATCTACAAGTTATTGCATTTGATAAACATGGATCTGATGGTTCTGAGACTAATCAGTTATGCGTTAAAGATTGAGTTGAACTAAAGCTTGTACAGTTATTTCTAAGTCTATTCTCAGTGTTTGTTATATTTTCTGAGTACAATATTTTTTTGGTTTTTAGTAAGCTTAACATTATCCACATTTCATGGGAAGATCCAAACAAACAATACTAAGTGAATTCAAACTTCACCCCATCGCACAAGCAAGTGGCTATCAGGACTCAGTGGCCGAGTGGATAACGCGATGGCGTTTGAAGCGAGGGTACTGGGTTCGAGTCCCAGAGTGAACATCAACTCCGAGATGCAGGTACATCCAGCTGACGAATCCCAAATAGGACGAAACGCGCGTCACACTGGATTCCACTTCTAGCCACTATCCATCTCTGCTTAACAACAATTAGTTCAGTATACATTTCCTGCTAATAACCAATAACTACAGACCTAAGGAAACCTTATTAAGCTAACTGGCAAGTCAGATTCAAGACGGTGATTTTCAGTTGATGTTTATTTCATGTAGAGTAGTGCAGAGAATGTCTTGATTAAGAGCTAAAATTAATGCTTCTAAGATTGTTTACTAAACTGTCTTCTATCGTAACTTACAATGAAAGCGATATAATAGACAATCAAGGGACAGATTATTGAATTTGACAGTTAGTGTGTACTCATTTATTGGCTATTAAGAGAAAGAGAGGTTGTATAAAAGTTTCAAGATTATTTTACATGTTTCGCAAGATATCCGAGTACTATTGATGTTTAAGACTGCAATTGATCAGTCTCTTGTTGGTATATATGGATCCAGTGCGGATTACCTCGATATTGTCTTAAGTCACAAGCATTATAAGCAAAGATGGATGATGACTAACAGTGGAATCTAGTATGATGCTCGTTTCGTCCTATTTAAAATTGGTTAGCTGGATGTACCTGCGTCGCAAAGTTAATGTTCACTGTGGAACTTGAACGCAATACTGTTTTCTTCCAACACTATCACATCATCCACTTAGCTACTGAGTTATGATAGCCACTAGCTTGTGAAATGGGTACATCAAAAGTGCATCCAGCTGATGAGTCCAAAAAAGAGAACGAAATGCACATCTTGGATTCCACAGCTAACCACCATCCACTTTAATTTATAATATCTTCGAATACTGCTATAAGTTAAGAATAATTTAATGTAAATTACCAGAATGCATCTTCTTTTCTTAAGAATAACAATGCAACAGCTGCTATAAAATTCATACCCTGACAATAACCAATTTTAGAATTATGTATACTGTAAGCTTGTAAAACTTCTTGAAGTTTTTGTACCTAAATTCAGAGGAGAAGAAACAAACAAAAAGGAATAGCGTAGTCACGTTCTATACAAAGTTAATGTGAATGTCAAAAAAATAAAAGAAGAAAACATTAGTCGGAATCATAAACAAACATTGGTAGAAGGAAGCAAAACATCAATTGATGTCAACACTAACTTCAATGTCAATTCGACTTTTGGATAATTCAAATCATTCATTGAGTACAAAATGTATCTTTTTTTTTCAAATGACTTTATTCCAGTGATTGTAATTCATTATTTTACATGTAGCACTGAGCGGCAATGCCAGAATATTTGCTATGGGTTTCTCTCCTTCCCTAAACGCAAGTTGTTGCTCTAGACTGGCCTTCATCAACATCTGAAGAATAGGCAGTAAAGTAGTTGAACGCGTCGTCAACTTCACTAATCTTCGAAGTTTGATTAGCTCTAATAGCTTGATGTCTGACGAAATCTCAGCACGGATTCAAAAAGTGCGTTTGGCCTTTGCCAAATTACGTGACCTATGACGAAGTTGAGATATCCTTCTAATAATTAAGGGACGAGTATAATGCGCAGCAGTTCGTTCTATTTTACTTCACGGCTGAGAAACGTGACCATTGGGAGTTGAAGATGCTAGTAAGGTCCTAGTATTTGACCATAGATATCTTAGAAATATTGCTCACATCTACTGGGATCACCGGGTAAGTAATACTGAGGTTAGACACAAGGCATTAGGGAATGATGGTAAATCAGTTGATGAGGTGATGAATCTTCATCGACTGATATGGTTGGGCTACGTGTTACATATGCCTGAACACTGATTACAACGACGCGTTATGCTGACTAGTGTAGGGGATGGTTGGAAGAGTTAGGGGAGGCCAAACCAAAACGTGACATCAGTGTTTGAAGTCACTAACTTCTAGTCTGAGCTGTACTGGTAGATGCAGATTACTTGGTTGATTTCCGCGTGACTATCGTAACCAGGATCGATTGATCACAATGGTGTAGGTGTATACATCCTCTGTCTTCCCTTAAACTGTGAGATTAAAATTGCTTTATACCTTTCTTTCTTTCTTCGGACTCATTCTTTCTTCCTGTACTATATCCTTATACACAATCGTTCTTTTATATACTACCACCACTAAATTAGCTACTTCTATGAATTCGGTGTTCATCTTGTTGTGCTAATGAGATGTGGTAACTTGGACCGATGCATATATGTGTCTAGTTGTACGTTGTAGCTTACTGACTGACAACATTTTACAGTGAATGTTGTTTAACTTTTTCTTAAATAACATTACAAAAATAGATATTAGACATAATTAGGCTGTAAATGTTTATTTTAACATCTGACAGGATTTAATTCACTTAATCAGTTATATATGACTTATTCATTATAACGAACAATAAGTATGGAGTTATGACGCTTTTACTACTACGTGTTTTTATTTAGCTAACGGTTCTTCTAGATAAAATATTTCCACGAGTCGATCCAATATAAATCAAAGTTAAACATTGAGACTATTGGATGCCATCTCAGCGGTCTAAAGGTTAAGCGTTCATACGCTAGACAGCAAGTCTTGAGTTCCAATTCCACGTGGGAGTTCATGTGTGCACACTATTGTGGAGAACCATACTAAGACGAAACGGCCGTTCAGTGCTTCCAGGCATGGGACTCCTCAGCAGTGCGCAAACACGATCATGGCTTGAAAGATTCGAATCTAGGACCTATCAGTCTCGCGTGCGAGCGCCTAACCTGTAGACCACTGAACTGGCATCCAACGGTGTCAATATCTAACTTTAACCAATTCACGAAATCGCAGATCATCCACCATTGTCTTCAATCAGTTACTATCTCACAACACACCCAGATGAACTCCACTGGTCACGTCTTCTCGCTAGAACTCCAGGAAATATATCTTGAAGTTAGTCACTAGTGAGCACATGATGACTAGTATCAGAAAGGGGTTGCTGCGCTGGCTATAGAAATTTATTAATTGAGTTCATGAGTTAAATAAAGCTAAACCACCATTTACATTCTAGAAGCACTGGACGGCCGTTTCGTCTTAGTATAGGATTCTTCAGCGGTGCGCATCCGCGATTGAATAAATATTTGATATGGCTATGATAGAGTCAAAATTTAAGAATATTTGAATTTTAACTTAAATATTATTCGTTATGAGGCTAAATGTGATGTTACAGATAAGTTTCATTATCCTTACATAATTTTGCAAATATGCAGATTTCCTGACGTTTCGTAACTTATTGCAAACCACTTCATCAGGAAACAAACAAATGTTATATAACATTTTATGTTTACACTTTGTATAACGAAACATTTGAACGTTCGACTTTAAAAAATGTTAATAAACGTCCAAGAAAAAGTAAATTACAATCATAATGTCTATCTTACCCCAGGTGCATCAATATTATCGAATTGTACATTATTTGGCATAGTTCTTAATAAATCAAGTGAAATTTGACGTCTATGTTGAGCTGCAAGCTAAAATTATAATAGGAATTATATTTATAAGCATAAAATAATGAATTCATCAGTCAACTGTCATCTGTCAGTCAGTCAGTCAGTCACAACGTAGGACTTCGTACGTACGTACATCAGTTCGAGCTGCCATACCACAATAGCACAGAGATAAAGTTGTCGATTCAAATTCCATAGTGGTAGAAGTAGTAGGAGTATAAGCATTATGTGAAAGATTAGGGTTTGAAGATGTTATTGAAGGAGTATAATCCAGTGAAATAAATTTGGAAAGAGAAAAAGGAAAAGGACACAAATAATTCAGAAGATTAGAATTTGGAAGAACACAAACAGTGGATGCACCTTCGCCATTGCAAACGATTTTGAGCCATGTTATTCAAGGTCTCTAACCATCGGTTGCTATCATCTCGCGAATCCCAACCAGGTAGTCTACACCTACCAACATGGTTCAGTCCGCTTGTCAGCGACTTCATGGATTTGTGCCATGTTTTGGTCTGGCTGCCCAACTTACTCCTACAGCATAAAACATTGCACGTCGGGGCAGTCGGTGGTTGGGCATACGTCATCTGTAATTCAGTAACGATAACTAAGTAAGTTGTATAAGTATCAATGCCAAGATTGGACTTGATAATTTTGAATAAATTGAGCATTGAGTAGGAAGTTAGTGGTAAAAATACCATTTGTGATGTCTTAATGAGTAGAAAATTTTAATTCTGATGTTTCGTGACTTATTGTAATCCACTTCTTCAGATTTTATAAATAATATAAGGTTAAATCCCTCCGCGTTTAATAGGAAAGTATGCCTGTATTTTCATCCAACCTAAATTGTTTATTAAAGCAAACACATATAACCTTATTGATTTTCATAGTTGAAATAATGAGTCAATTGAAACTAGACCAACCACGGAAAACCTGGAAGCACTAGACGGCCGTTTACGTTCTATTATGGGACTCCTCAGCAGTACGCATCCACGATCTCCACAAAACTCCTTCTTAATGATTTTCCAAACAATCTACATACATACATACACACAATCTCAACCCCACTCCTTCATATTACAAATGTATACATTTTTCATATGCACACTCTGACACACAAATTAATATGGTGATGGGTCATACAAATTCACGTTGACTAAAAATTAATCTAACAATGACATTTTTTCGCCCCCAAATGCCCTGGTACAGCTGAGAGTGAAGAGAGTCCGCTCTCCTTCTCGCAATACTCTCACATGGCCATGCGTAATATAGCCTATGCCGAGAAAGTCCTACTCACTGCCTTCTCGTGACGGAGGTAGTGTTTACGAAATTGAGAAGACGAAAAGAGAATGTCCGACGCCTTAACCAGGTTGGTGGATACGGCGAGTTCATTTAGGGGAGTGGGAAAACCCTGATTCCAAACCAATGATGCACATGGGTTCCAGTATTCTGAAGGAACAAATGACGAATGAACCTAGTGTTGGTCACCGGCTACCGTGGGAATGCATCGCCTCACGATGCTCCATTGACTTGTGGATCAAACTTTTAGATCAAAGGCTCCGTGTGTAGCTCCCTAAGAAAACCACCTGCTTCAGTTTGGGCACATGAGCAGTATCACAGCCCTCACACAAATCAAATGAGATTTATGTGACGAATATGTATCTAGTGCTTCCTTGTACCAATATTTATGTGTATAAATAAAATAATAAAAATTATGATTTTGATTGTTTCCTTTATACTATTTAAACTTGTGTTCATTTAATGTCGGTTATTTATTTACTCTGAAGAAGTGACTTACATTAAGTCACGAAACATCGTCAGAAATACATCCGTTTCTTTAATCATTAAGATATAACATATAGTATACTTATTATTAAGTTTTAGTTTATTAAACGACATGATTACATTAAACTAAACAACTTAACTAATAATATTCAGGATAGTGAAGTTTTTTAAAAAAAAAAATGAAAGTCAGCCAACCGTACAATAAATAGAAAGAATATGTATTTGTAAAATCTCAACTAATGAATTTGAAGTAAATCCAATTTTTTCGCCTGATAATCTGGTCTAAGCTTTTTCAAGGAATTTGGCGCTCAAATATTGTGAAACTATTCACTCTAATTTAAATGAAAGTTAATATATATTAGCCAACAGTAGTTTAATGACGACCATAGTATACTATACCTTTATAGTTGTTATGTCCCAATAACAATAGTGAATGGTAACTTTGGGATCCATTTATGGATCAATATTATGCATATATTTTTTTATCGTATAATTGCGAAATAACTAAACTATTAGTATTTATGTTCCCCTTCATTATAAGCTTTATTTTGAACTGTAAACTATTATTATACGATTTAAGATTATTGAGTTATCCTTAGTCGAACACACTTTCTGGGGAAGAACAGTTAACTGGTGGTAGAATTCATTCTTGATTGCATCCGGGCTGCAATCTATCGGGGTATACGCGGAGATGGTGAAAAGACATCGTTTCTCACGCCTATCTCTCCTCACTTTGATGGAGCTTTCTAATCTAAAAACACATAACCGACTGTTAATGGGGATTCAGTCGATTAGTGCTACCTCAGCTCTAGCGCTTAGTGCGAGTGTTATATTATGAATATGAATTATGAATAGTAACTCTAAGTACTATTTGTGGGCCAATGTGATATGTATATTTCCTATTGTATAATTGTTAAGTAACTAAACTAATCGTATTCGTGTTCTTATTGTAAGCTTTATTTTGACTTATAAACTATTATTATACGATTTACCATTCTTGAGTTATCCCTAGTCCATAAATTACTCTCCCCCCTCTTCATCTCCACATTTGGCCAAATCTTGTACAAATGTTATTTTCTATTTTATTGGTATGATGTGGTCAGTCTGTTTGGTATATAAACTCAGTATGTTTGAAATACAATGATTCATACCGCAGAGGCTGTTATTGGTGTTCTGGACTTAACTAGCTGCGCTAGGCAGATAGCAGGACCGATACGCACTCTAGACTGCTCATACGGTTTTTGTGTATCATTGTTCCAATCGATAATTCATTGCTCTTTGATTGGCGGTATTATCACGTTCATACGTTAGCAAGGCATCCACTCGGCCACAAGTTATAACAATAGTGTACCAACATCCTTAATATTGATGAGAAAGTACACTTACTATGGCACCAGGAAAAAGGAATAAAATCATTCGATCGCAAATATGTATGCGTCATGTTTACTCTTTCTGAAGGAAGTTGTAACAACGATATAAGTTAATAAATACAAATTGCTTTTTCATCTGTTCAAATTATCAGTACCATACTGGGATAGTAGAGACTATTTTGGTCTAGAGAAACTTAAACAACTGTATATACATATAGATATGTGGCTTTCAAATCATTATCATCATTGATCGGTTAGCAGAGAAATAATATAAATGCTGCATAGATTTGTGTATTGTGTTGTTTTGGAAGCTCTAATATATGATTTATTAAAGAATCTGATACTTAAATTGCATGAATACATTCGGTTAAAAAAATGCGGCTTACATCTATGATTTACTTATTTATAATAAGTAGTTGAATAAGTTCAACTAAAAAATGTCTATGTTGACAGAGTGAAGTCAATTATGAGACTAATTGATCGATAATACTGAATGTTTTATCAGAATAAAATTCATTTACTTACTGTATTTTCACTAAATTCTTCTAAAAGTCCATTATAATATAATGGTCCTTTAATTTGCATTAATTGATGTAATTCACCATGAATTAACATACGCCATACACCTTCACGATATTGAATAGGTACACCAGAACGACAAAGAACTTCTAAATCAGCCTTGAAAATAAAATTTAATAATAGAACTTCAGTTGTTATAGATGAAATATAATGTATGATATTGATCATTTCGAAGAAATCAGCTCAGGATATTCGGGAACTAGTACAAAGCCAAGTTCTATGCCTTTCTATGGACATCCTCTGAATTTCTAACAGCCAGAAACGGTGCACATGATGCTCAGATATTTAAACGGGCAACGGAATCACAAATTAGTAGAAGAAATTCGATCAGTAATGAGGACTGGACAATTGTAGTGACCTGTTTTTCTCGACGAGAATGCGATTGGTGTAATGGAAGCAATTATTTTTATAGCTAATTGTACCAGTGATTGTTTTACATTACTCGTTGTTGTTTAACTGTATCAAAGTCACTTCTTGTTCTGCTATCCATCTTGTTGGTTCAAACTTTCTTACGCTCTGCTCTTATTGCCTGTAATCTTTGATGAGTCTCGGTATTCATTCGATACCATGAGATTGTCAATAAATATACTCCATCTGGACCAGTTACAGTCTTCTAGTTTGCCAGTTATCAAAGGAACCAAGTCGATTTTGGGCGCATAATCTTACTGAAGTGGTGATCATAGTCAATCACGACTCAACGCCATCTACACAACTATGGGATAAGCTGTCCTTCAGCGTCCTTCAGTGTGGATTTCCTTCTATCACTGACAACTCACTATAAAATCTATAAACACTGAGCAATAACATCTTCAGACTTTACCCTCCTATTGATTTCTGTGTACTAAAATACATCTTGTAAGTACCTACTAAGATTAATCGGAATATGGTTGATAGAGAATATCTTGTTTTGAAATGTTCTCCGTGACCTTGAAACTCGTTTCTCAATCCTGAATGGTTGAAAACCATGCATATTTAATTCATATGGAGATTTCTACAGTTCAAGCATAGCTTTCTTTATAAACTAACATCAATTGGAAGTTCGTCAAAAAACTAGAGGTAAAGGACAGCTAGTTTGTTATAGTTTAAGATTCCTTATGGCAATGAAGCATACTTTGAATTTTATACAGAATCAGATAGTGACTTCAAAATTGATCTCCTCATTTATATCAATTGAAGTCAAAACTACTATTGTATCATGAGGTATTAAACTTGATGAGTTTAAACGCATCAATTACTTGTGTTCACATCACATCTCAAGATCAAATAGTGAATAGGAACTCTACTAGGGTAATTCGATTATGCATTTACTCAAGGTCTCAACCTATATGGGTTTAAACTGGTTGAAATGTGAATTGTATGAAAATCTATGATTTATGAACATTAACATTTGTATTGATAGGCAAACTTTTATTTGTATGATCTGGATAATAGGCTTAGTTTCTTGTAAGTTTTATGGTAGAAGAATAGGACAACATTACTATCATTGTGTAAATCACTTACTCTTGTCAATTCTCTATTTGCTTGTGTTAAAAGTTCAGTCCAACGATAGAAATTTTCATCACCACCAGATAATTGACGTGTATAAAAATCATATAATTGTTGACAACTATAATGTATAATACTTGTTTCATTTAAATAACTATGCTTAAATCCATAAAAATCCACATGATAGTCGGCAGTTTTTGGTCTATATAAAAATGGATTCAAGATATTATGAAAGTGAATATTATGCAATGATTACACGTCTAATGGAGAATTGATTTCGATTCGAGGGATTGAATCTTTGTAACTTAATTGTAATGTTATAACGGTTAAACGCTGCCATGAAACCTGTTAGTCAACGATATAATTATCCTTGATGGATTCATGGGTGTATATTCCGGGAGAGTATAACATTCGGACAAAATAAATGTTTGGTATTCACTAGCTTTTTTTTAGCCTTAACCCAAGTAAGATCAATTTGTAATGAATATAACTTACAAATAAATAATAAACTTTGAAATTTTACTTTTTTGGGACTCATCAGCTAGAGGTACGTGCATCTCAGAGTTGATATTCACTCTTAGACTCAAACCCAGTATCATTCGCTTCAAACGGAATCGCGTTATTCACTCAGCTACTGAGTTCTGATAGCCACTTGCTTGTGCGATGGAGTGAAGTTTAAATTCAACTAAGTATTGTTTGTATGAATCTTCTCATTGATGGTTTAAGAATGCAACTGGTCAGTCTCTGATTGTCATCGCGTTATCCATTCAGCTACAAAGTCCTGATAGCTTGATATTTGTAACTATTATGATTCCAATGTTATTACTTTTCTATGTAGTAAATTTTACATAATCAATATGATTATTAAAGAAATCATTGATTTGTACTTCTAGAAAAAACAACAACTTCACTTTCAACTACACTGAGAATCACTAATGAAGAGTTTAGATGAAATAATGTGTATTTCACTAAAAGCACTGAAACTGTGGTGTGGTCTACTTATATCCATATAAGTAGTATATGGTGTTGGTCAGATATAGAATGTATTCTGGCAGAAGAGCGATAAGGAAAGAACCGAAAAGAAGCGCAATCGGTAGGAAAATGCATGGGCAATGGAATAAGAGAAGAAACAGTGAAGATCGAGACTATTGGTTGTTAATTTGCAAATTAACTGTCCATTGTATGGTTTTCAGAATTTACTGAGATAGTCTGTAATTTTGGCTTAAATACATTCGATTGTCCCCAACTAGTGTTCTGCTCACTACAAAACCACTGAAAACTTAGAATCATTAAACAGGTATTCAATGGTTATCTAACTTGGGTTAGTTCGTGATTTCTATAAAAGTCAACAATCTCCACAACTTGATACTGATAAATTGTTTGTTTCAATGTTGGATGTATCATATATTTGATAGTTTTAGTCTATTCAAACAAACCATATATTTGTACTGAGATGTTCGTTCAAATTCTCGAACACTGGAATTGTGCACATTGATATCATAACCAGATGATAGTCATACATAATCCGGACTCTTTATTAAAGAAAGACTTTATATTATTTTTTCAAAAGAATCAATATCTTTATTGTATTCACTTACTTAATCATTGATGGTAAACTTGGATCTTTACGTCTTGCTTCATCCAATAGTTCACTGATTAAATTTTTATACTAAAACAACAATAAAATAAAATAAATGGTTTATTCTCTGTTTTTTTTCTAACTAAAATGTACTTGAAGCTAGACCATCAGGAAAAACGGCCATTTCGTCCTATTGCCGGACTTCTCAGCAGTACGCATCCACGACCTCGCTTCCCAAGATTCGAACCCAGGATCTACCAGACCTACCCTGGTGGTCTAGCTTCAATTAACTCACGCCTTTAACTATGAAAATACTAAATCTCCACAAAAACCTCTTCTGATAAAATGTACTTCTTAAATATGGTGAAAATAATTATTATTATACTGATGTTGTATAAAGATTATTCAATTGAAAGTTGGTATAAACCATGGAAGCATAGTGAATTCAATAGGACTAGTAAATTTCCATTGAATAAGTGGCCTATTCAAATTTATGTGCTACCATTGTTCCAGGCATAATTTGAGTATCATAAATTGTTTTAACTTCGCTCCAGTTCGTATATCTTATCTGCCAACTGCTTGTGTTTACATCTTTCCAAAAAAATGTTTGACAACGTTTGCACATTCAACTCAACAAGAGCCTTCTAAATGATTCGTACATTTTCATCCATTTTTCTTTGAAGAAATTATCGAAAAATTCACATATCAACTACATTACACAAATAAACTGTCATGTCATGCATCCAAGACTGTTTGGAAACATTTACTGATGAATGTAAATCATTGTTATTCATTAATGAAATACTTTAGTTGCAGTATTTCATATTTCGTACTGAGAACACTTGAATGTAGTCGAACATATGATAACGAACAAAGTAAATACTATTATCGATTTTGAGATGGTGGAGAAGATTTGTAGCTCAGGTAGGTGATTTTGATGTAGGTTTGTTCTCTGAGCTGGATGGTTTGGTCGTGGAGCTTTCATTGTCCTTCTGAACGACATCATCAGCACAAACTTCGGGTAGAAGTGAAGTATTTGCATTTCTCCACATGTGAGTCACAGCTTGTTCACAGCTTGTGCACCTCGATGTTGATCGGTTCTTATTGACCTTACATCTATCATTGTTTATTTCTTCGTTTTGATTGTGTCTACCATTGGTTTGATTTTTGTTCCTATGTCTCTGCATACATTTCCTGATTGGTTGATAAATTGGTTTGATTTCAATGTGCTTGTTTATTGCTGATTGACCTGAGTGTCCAGCTTCTAAAAATTCTCTGGTGTTTTCGGAATTGCCTCTGTCCAAAATCTGCACATTTTCCCAGTCAAGTGTATGTCTGTAGTTGACCACGTGTATTGATATGAGTGAAGAAATGTCGTGGCATTTGACTGCTAATTGATGTTCATGTAGGCGAGGATGCAAGGGGCGTCCACTTTGTCCGATGTAGTGTTTGTCGCAGTTGGTACAATTTATCATGTAGATGATGTTTGTTTTGTCTTCTTTTGCCATTTTATCCTTTGGTTTGCATAAGATTGAGTGGAGGGGTTGTGTTGGTTTGTGGGCTACACCTATTCCGAAGGTTTACAGCAGCCTTGTTGTCGTTTCCGATATGCCTTTTATGTATGGTAGGGTGATCCTTTTGTTCTACCAAAAGTTTGTGGTGATCATGTCGTTCAGAAGGACGATGAAAGCTCCACGACCTAATCATCCAGCTCAGTGAACAAATCTACATCAAAAACTATTATCAATTTTTAAGGCCAGTTTATAACTCTCGGAGAAGTAAAACGTTCTGTTCTTGACAACACTGATATTCTCTCTTCTTCCTAGTCCTCAAGAATATTCTAAACTTTAAGTCCGAGAGAATAGAAAGTAGAAAATACAGGAGATGCCTTATTTTTGAAGTTGGACTATGAAAAAAACCGAAAATATATTTAGGATTTTATGTAAAATATTAGAATATCGGAAGACTTTAAATTCCTTAGTCAGTTTTTAAAGATGTTCGGTCTGGAAAGTAAAGTAAATTGCTAAATAGATTTATCTTGGAATTCTCTACAAAACACTGACTTATGTAATTATTGTTCACATTTTCGGTTGGTTCTAGTTGACGTTTTTGAGGAATTACCTTGAGTCATCATCAGGAACCTACAATCGTCAATCCAAAAGGATAAAATGCAATCATATCACATGGTGATCAAGTTATAAGTGGATCATATGGTCATAGTATATCAGTCCACATTTCCAGTTTCATTCAATTCCCAAAATGCTGTGACCGATAATAATTGGACTTCAATTAGTCAGTTCTTGTGTTGAAAAGTCTGATGAACATTGAGAACACAACAGCGATAGAAAAAGAGAATAGGGGAATCAAAGCACAAGTAAAGACTGGAGAAAAAGTCTCAAAACTAATGAATTATTTAAATGGAGATTTTGTTTACCTGAAGAACCATTGAAATGAAGCAAATAACCGAAATCACTTTAACACTACTTAAATGTATCCTAAGTAGTATGAATCCATGGTATCAAACAAGTCCAAAATCATAAAATAGGAATATGATAAGTAAACACTATATCACTTAGAGTGATTTATTAACACTCCGTATATATTTATTCTGACAGTTGCATTTTCAAGTTTTGCATACCCTGATGGTCGGAAGTAAAGTAAGTAATTAGGAGAAAAATGTATGTTAATATGATGGACATTTTTCTCAATGATAAATATAACTAATCACTCACTCGATCTTTACCATAATCACTAAACATTAATCGATGATGTGGATCGGTTTGTGTAGCACCAAGACATGCTTGTAATAGTTTGACATATTCACGTCTCCATTTAAAACCTTCCATATTTAAACGTTGAATGTACCTTTGAACAAACATTAAACATTATAAGGAATATAATATAATATAGTAGGACGAAACGGCCGTCCAGTGCTTCCAGGTTTTCGATGGTGGTCTAGCTTCCATTGACTCATGATTTCAACTTTGAATATAATATAAGTTTGGTGGTAAACAAATTGGTTATAAATAAAAAAAGATAAATTCAGTTGTACATAAAATAATATCCTAAATAAATTGATAAAAGCTACGCTGTAAGGTGAAAGTTTTGTTAAAGGTACTAAAGTACCAAAAAAGTGACCATCGAGAATGTGATATCGGGGTCATGGCGCGCATATCAAACTAGTATGACATAAAAGTTTGTATTGATCTTTTTTATTTATTTATTTATTTAAACACATAAATATTGGTGCAAGGGGGCACCAGATACATATGCGCCACACAAATCTTATTTGATTTGTGTGAGGGCTGTGATACTGCTCAGGTGCCCAAACTGCAGCAGTTGGTTTTATTAGGGAGCCACACCCGGAGCCTTTGACTTAAAAGTCTGATCCACAATGTAGTGGAGCATCGTGAGGAGATGCAGTCCCATGGTAGCCGATGATCAACGATTGATTATTTCTCCATTTGTTCCTTCAAGATAATGAAGCCCATGTGCACTATTGGTTTGGAATCAGGGTTTCCCAAGTCACCTAGGTGAACTTTCTGTGTCTATCAGCCTGGGAATTCGCTTTTCATCCTCTCAATTTCGTAGACAACACCCATAGTGCTAGAAAGCAGTGAGTAGGACTTCCCTGTCAGAGGCTATATAAGCGTGGCCATGTGAGAGCACTTCGAGAGGGAAGGAGACCCCTCCCCACTCTCGGCCAAACCAGGGCATTTGGGGACTATGACCAAAGTTAAGGATAGGGTTTACGGACTGATTCAAGTTGAACTCAGAATTTAGTATTTGGCTTAAGAGATACATAGATTAACTCTGAACCCTTTTCCTTACCAAAACATACTAACAATTGAAAACTTAGAACAGCTCGTTAATCATGTGGAAATAACTATTAAGATTATCAATTTCGTACTATAAATCATGCACAGTTTCTGACTGAGTGAAACTTTCTGGAGATCAGTTTCGAATTCTCTCAAGTTCAGTATGACAATTAAATATTTATACCACATGTTTTCTAGTTTACTTAAAGTTTTGTCCGTAAACAATGTTATCAGGAGTGAATTACATGTTGCGCATATGATCTATAAAGAAATTAGATGTTTTTTGATACAACCACGTAAAAGTTTAACATATTGTGGTTTGGTCTACTTATATCCATATAAGTAGTATGTGGCGTGTATGGCGTATATGGGTGCTGTTCTGTGGACTCCGCTGCGGGTCTGGAGTTGAGGTGCTAGTTAAGGCAGTCTGGTGCGAAGAGTTGGCGTCGAGAGGAGTGTTCTGGCGGGGCGGCGTTGACTGTAGCGGGTGCTGTTTACTACAATATGATAATTGTGATTACTGGAAATGATGGTAATCAAAATGGAAAATAATGAATAGATGATATCCAGTCTTATTGAATTCGGAAATATGAATCGATGGATTCGGACACTTTTTTATAGTATTCGTATTCCTCATGAGATGTGAAAGCTCTTCTTAAGCAGTATGTAGATGATTTCCCATTAATTGCGACTAGTGAAGATTAACCACATTAAGATTAGAGATAGATATCGTCAAATTAAATGAAGTAGGATTATTGGATTTCAACCTAGTGGTCCCAAGAATCCCTAATCGCTATAACATTAAATACTGATTTTCCTTACGCCAGTTACCCCTCGTGGAGGATCATAGGCCACCCATCAACACTCTCTATCCAACCCTGTCATGGGCAACTCTATCTAGTTTCTTCCAGTTGCTATTCATCATTATCATATCTGCTTCCAATTCACGAAGTAGTATGTTCTTCGGCCCTTCTGCTTTCCACTTTTCTTCAGGATTCCAAGTTGTGGCTTGCCTCATGATCTTGTTCTTTTCTTTATGTACACTAAGGCTTATCGTTGCAGAGGCTACTGGTACATTAGTTGTCTTCATCTACATTTGTTCGTGTGAATGAGATAGGTGGGCAAGGTCATCTGCAAAGTCCAAATCATCTAATTGATTCTGATCTGTCCATTGTAATCCGTGTTTTTCCTCAGAAGTCAAGGACTTCATAATCCAGTCGACCACCAGAAGAAAGAGGAAGAGGAAGAGAACCCTTAAAACAGGAATACTTTATTTCTAATCTAGTGTTCTAGTTATGGATAGTCATTGCCAAAGACTTAAACAACCGGTAATGGTGTATTTAAGAAAATGATTATCAAATTATTTTTAACCTTCCTAATAAATTCACTTTACAAATATAACAATAGTTTTCAATAGTTGTGGCCATTAGTCAATTGAAGCTAGACCACTATCAAACACCTGGAAGCACTGGATTGCCGTTTCGTCCTATTGTAAGACTTCTCATCAGTGCACACCCACGGTCCCGCATAACAAGATTTAAACCCAGGAGCTATCATTCTCGCGCGTGAGCACTTAACCTCTAGACCTCTGAGCTGGTATTCAACGGGATCGTGGATGCGCACTACTGAGAAGTCCCACAAAGGCATAGCTCCTTTATTGTCTAAACATGGTAATTTTAAAAAATAAATATTCAATGAAGATGTATTTAGTAAAGATGAAAGAAAGTTAATTCACATTCTATTCTGATTCACACCTAACATAGTTGAATTTAATTGGTCATCGCTTCAACAGACTCCAAAAATACCCCCATATTAATTCTCGAGATAATATTAATCTCACTTGGCATACAAGAGGGCCCAGGATCGTTACCCGGCACTTCCATACTGCAATAGTCAGTTATCATACTTTTAACAGTAATTACTAACTGGTAGGTCCTCGGTTCGAATCTCACGAGGAGGGATCGTGGATGTACACTGCCGAAAGTCCTACAATAGGACGAAACGATCGTCCAGTGATTCCAGGTTTTCTCTGGTAATCTAGCTTCAATTGACTCATGATTTCAACTCTATAAAATTTAATAAAAAACTTACTTAGACATTTTATTTGAATGATCTGTAAACATATATTTAATTGATGCTAATTCACGTATTTCTGTAATTAAAAATTGATTCTTCCTATATAATATTCTTTGTTTTTGTTCATAATCTTCAATCATATCTCTCAGTTTATTTGGGGAAATATTTTTGGGTCTAAAATGAATTCCATAAAAGAAAAAAAGAAGAAGAAGAAACTATCTATATACAAAGTTACTTCGTGGATTGGTTGGAGTTAAACATAAACACTATCGGACGCCGGCTCAGCGGTCTAGAGGTTAAGCGCTCTGGCACGAGATTGGTTTTAAATCTCGCGAGGAAAGGTCGTGGATGTGCACTGCTGAGGAGTCCCACAGTAGAACGAAACGGTCATCCAATGATTTCAGGTTTTCCCTGGTGGTCTAGCTTCAATTGACTCACGCTTTCAACTATGAGAACATGTTAGTAAAATCTGACAACCATATAGTAAATACTTCATTTGCAATATATCCATCAATTGTCTTAGACTTCACTATTCCTTTATAATTCTTTGTTCTCGCTGTTATATCCTAGTGAAGACGTTTAGACAGGTAACTTCCGGGATTTATTAATGGGCTATTATTCTATATATATTCTTATTTTCTAACTATTGAATAACTAGATTGTGTATATCTATATTCATCTTATTATAAGCTTCATCTTGACCTAGGCATTATTACTGTACGATTTACTGTTCCTAAACTATACTCAGTTGATTGATTACTGTATCCCATGTTCACAGCCACATTTGGCTTGATCATGTACATATATTATTTTATATTTTAAGGTGTGATGCGCGGTCTGTCTGTCTGGTATATAAACCGAGTATGTTTGAAATAAATAATTCGTATAGCAGAACCTGTAATTGGTGTTCTGGACTCATTTGGAAGGGCTAAGAGGACAAAGGACCAATAAAGATGCTAGACTGCTCATACCGGCCGAATGTGATTGATTTTGGAACAGTGCTAAATTTAGACAAGTCGTATTCCGATTGGTAGATAAATCACATAATAAAAAGCCGGGCATAAGATCACGAAAAATTGCTATACGTCCTTCTTTAATTTTTAAATTCATAACACTCACCACTAGATATTTCACTTTCTATTGATGATACGTACTACTTCTGCCCGTCGACATCAGTAGCACACACCACAATTACTAAAGTCTTAATTTCCATGATTTTTTATATTTATCATTATGGAGTTGTGGAGATTGTTGAGTTATTAATCAAATCATGAATCGATCAATATTGTACCCCCATTGAAAACGTGGAAGCACTGGATGGCTGTTTCATCTTGGTATGGAACTCTTTAGCAATGCGCATTCACAATCTCTCACTTAGGACGCGAACCTAGGATCTTAGATGTTTTATATTTCAGTAATTAAAAGATCTAATTTCACTTATTAATTGTTATTACATCCTATTTCATCAACAAATTGTTGCAAATTAACTATGAACATTCTGTTGAAATCCGGAGACAATTGAAACCAGACCACCAAGGAAAACCTGGAAGCACTGGACGGCCAACTCGTCCTATTATGGGACTCCTCAGCAGTGTGCATCCACGATTCCGCACTTGCGAGATTCGAACCCAGAACCTACCAGTCTCGAGCCAGAGCCCTTTTCCGATAGACCACTGAGCCGGTATCCAACGGTGTTAATGCCTAACTTCAACCAATCCACGATTTTCAGCGACCGTTCACCAATTGTCTTCAGTGAGTTGATATCTCTACAACAGACTTGGTAGAACTCCACGGCCGTCCAGCGCTTCCAGGTTTTCGATGGTGGTTTAGCTTCAATTGACACAGGATTTCAACAGTGAAAATACTTAATTCTCCACAAAACCCCCTCTGATCTGTGAACATTTTATCCAGATTTTCTATATCAAGTTTCCTAGTTAGATATATATTGTAACTTAGTATTTATATTACGTTGTAGTTCTTAAGATGGTGAAAAAGATTTGTAGCCCAGATGGATGATTTAGATGATTGTAGTTGGATAATTAATCTATAAAACAATATAAGCTTTGAGTTAGATAATATAGTGCTTACATTAGCTGTTCTACTCTCGTCTTCTGATTGGGACTTGTGGACAAGAAATTAGTGTGCACCGATATGTCTTAGCATACCAGGTCACTTAGTTGGAAAATGAGTATTTTTAGTTCAATCCTATCATTTGAAGCCCATACTAGAGTGAAAGTGAATTTATACGCTTAGGGTGATTAAACCTAAGTATTGGTCTTATTTTCAGTAGCGATCCCTCCTCTAATTGATGAATTAATCGATCAACTCCAGATTTTATGTGGGGAATTTAAAGAAGATAAATCAAATTGTGGTCAATCAAAAATCCTATTCTATAATATTATAGGGAAAGTAAACCTTATGGATAATGACTTATATATCATTATTATTTATTTATTTAAACACATAAATATTGGTACAAGGAGGCATCAAACAGATATACGCCATATAAATTATCTGATTTGTGTGAGAGCTGGGATACTGCCGGGACGCCCAAGCTGATGCGGATGTTTTCCTTAGGGGGCTACACTCTGAGAATTTGACCTAAAGGTCTAATCCATAAGTCAGTGGTGCGACGTAAGAAGATCCAGTCCCATGGTAGTCAGTGACCAACTTTTGGTTCATACACCATTTGTCTCCTCAGAATCCTGGAGCTCATGTGCACCATTGGTTTGGAATCAGGGTTTTCCAACTCTTCTAGGTGGATCTTTCGTATCCACCAGTAAATTGTCTGATTGTTCATTAGTTGTTATTATTGTACCCAAGGCTGTCTGATTTCGACCATTTGATCAAACGACTATTATTTCAACTCAATATGATGAGTCAGCTAACCAGTAAGTGATAACGTTGATCTAATCGACAATGGGTCAATTTATGATTTGATCTTAACTTGAAGAAAATTCATGTTTTATTTACAGAAAGTTAACCCATATTCTTTTGATTAACAAATCTATATCTCCTCAGGTGTATGTTGATTAACAATGATAAGTAACTATGTGTTACTGATTATCGTTAAAAGGTTGGTAATGGTAAATTTCCTTCAAAGATACAAACTATCAAAACGTTATAAAGATGATACGTTTAAACAGTTCATCCCTTCTATAAATCTTGATAGAACAATGAGATGGAGTTGATCTGAAAAAACATGTGATGTATTTATTCTATACCTTTCGAACAATCTGATCATACATAAGCTTGTCAAAATCTTAGTACACTTTTTTAAAACATTGTATAGAAATTCTTAGGTTTATGGAAGTCTTGGCTATTCATAAATTGAAAAACCCTTTTTGTTATAATCTTGCATTTGGCCTGGGTAATCTTTAAGTCATTTTATGGCCTTAGGTAGTAAAATAATATCCTATTCTCTCTATTTCAATAGAAAGCATTAGGCATATCATTGAATGTTACTCTTCAAATAGATATTCAACAATATTGAGGGTACCGGTGTTCCACTAAGTATTGAGATATACATCAAATGAATCTATCACCGAACTCTTCGAGTAACAACTGACACTCTGCAAGATTAATAGGTTTACATTAATTGATTACCGTGTGGTACCTAACAACGTATTGTCTAGTCTTTATTCTTCATGAAACTCTACTGACCTACATTTTAAGTGATGTATCCACTTGACTGAATACTTAACACTGTAATGAGATATATCACCTTCAACTGTTTAGTTTACTTAAAAGAAGACTACTAATTAAACGAACAAGTAATGACAATAAACACATTTCCTTACAGTTTAAATGATGAATTATCTTTCATTTCTATATTCTCAATATTCTCCACTTTTTGATCAATTTCTCGCATACCAGCTTCTCGATTAGATAACATTTGACGTAAATATGCTTCACGATCTAATGCCAATTGAAGTTGAGCTTTTAATTCCCTAGAGAAATAGAATTACAAAAAAATATTTATTTATTTCAGTAGGGGTTTTTGTGGATATTTCAGTATTTTCATAGTTGAAATCATGAGTCAATTGAAGCTAGACCACCATGGAAAACCTGGAATTACTGGATGGCCGTTTCGTCCTATTATGGGACTCCTCAACAGTGTGCATCCACGATCCCGCACTCACGAGATTCTAACCTATATATTTATTTGATTAATTAAGCTGTACTTATCAAGAATTTAAACAAAATAAGAATATCACTTCTTACAATTATTTTCACACTTGTTGAATGAATTAGTGATTATGAGATGGTGAAGAAGATTTGTAGCTAAGGTGGGTGATTTTGATGTAGGTTTGTTCTCTGAGCTGGATGGCTTGGTCGTGAAGCTTTCATCGTCCTTCTGAACGATATCATCAGCACAAACTTTGGGTAGAAGCTTGACACTCAGGTCAATCAGCAATAAACAAGCACATTGATATTAATAAAATTTATCAACCATTCAAGAAAATTATGCAGCAACATAGGAACAAAAATCAAACCAATAGAAGATACAACCAAAACAAAGACAGGTTTAAGGTCAATAAGAATCAATCAACATCGAGGTGCACAAGCTTTGAACAAGCTGTGACTCACATGTGGAGAAAGGTAAATACTTCACTTCTACCCGAAGTTTGTGCTGATGATGTCGTTCAGAAGGACAATGAAAGCTCCATGACCAAACCATCCAGCTCAGAGAACAAATCTACATCAGAATTAGTGATTATCTTAAGTCAATAGTTTTACAGATAATTCATTGATGTTTAAAACGAAAAACAATATTTGATATTTATCACAAGGAGGTTTTGTGGAGATTTGAGTAATTTTATATAGTTGAGATCATGAGTCAATTGAAGCTAGACCACCATCGAAAACCTGGAAGCACTGAACGGTCGTTTCGTTCTATTGTGGGACTCCTCAGCAGCTTCAATTAACTCATGATCTCAACTATATAAAATCACTAAAATCTCCACGAAATTCCCTTGTGATATTGATCATATGCTCACTAGTGACTGGCTCTATGAGGTAATTCCTGGAGTTCTAGTGGGAAGTCGTGACCAGTGGAGCTAATCCATGTCAGGTAGAGACGGGTATCTACCTCAGTACAATGGAAGATGGTCGCGCAATTTCGTGGATTGGTTGAGGTTAGACATTAACACCGTTGGATGCCAGCTCAGTGGTCTATCGGTTAAGTGCTCTGGCGCGAGACTGGTAGGTTCTGGGTTCGAATCTCGCTCATTAGGCGAGGTCGTGAATGCGCACTGCTGCGGAGTCCCACAACAGTAGGAAACGGCCGTCCAGTGCTTCTAGGTTGTCCATGGTGGTTTAGCTTCAATTGACTTACGATCTCAACTATATAAAATTTGATGTTTAATTTGTACAAAATGTTTGCTGGAAGGAATAGTACATCCATAGAGTAACTATTTATTGTTACGTAGATCTTTCCGATATTCCAAGACTATGAGAAACAATCTTATCGTCAATTGTCATCTATCGCTGATCTGTTTTGAATCTTTTTATAGCAATAATAATAATGATAACTAATGAAGTAACCTAGTTATACAATGAAATATCTATAATCAAAATAAAATGGTATCATTTTCACTGTAAGAGTTGAAAGTCTTGATGGAGTTTTGTTCTTTTAGTTAGATGGTTTAGTCATGGAATTTTTATCATTCTTCTGATCGACATTATCGGCACAAGCTTGAAACGGAAGTGAAGTGTTCGAATTTCTCCAAATATGACTAGGAGCTTGTCCTATAAACCTCGACCTTGACTGACTGTGGTTAACCTTTAACCTGTCATTGTTTACTTCTTTATTTTGATTATATCTCACATTGATTTGATTCTTAGTTCTGTAATGGTCCATAATTTTCCTGATTGATTGATAAATTGGATTTCAATGTGTCTGTTGATTGCTGATTGATCTGAGTATCATGCTTCTAAGAATTCTCTGGTGATTTTAGAATTCCCTCTGTTAGAGATCTCAACATTTTTCTAGTCAAATGTATGTCCTCAGTTGTCTACATGCATTGATATAAGTGAGGACATGTCATAGTGTTTGACCGCTAATTGATGCAGGCAAGGATTCAAGGGGTGTTAAATCTGTCCGATGTAATGTTTGTCGCAGTTGGGACAATTTATTTTGTAGATGTTCGGTTTTTTTCCTCTTTTGTCAAATCTAATCACTTATGAGATCACCTATAGTCCGAATCAAACTGTCATGTATTAGAATGAAACATTTGTATATACTTTAATTTATGTTTCAACCATTCTTTAGTTCAGTCAGTCAGTCACAACGTAGAACTTCGTACTCACGTGGTGGTCGAGCTTGCCTATCGTGGTAAATCAATCGAGCTATACTGGCTGGAACAATCGTTCCTCAAGTTCCTACCATGCCAGGCAGGTAGATTGAAGAGCGGTAAGACTAAAAGCAGCAATCCCAAGGTCCGAAGGCGAAGTCGTACTGCCGACTGTACAGATAGTTATAACAAAACTCTATTTTAATATAAGATCAATCAAAAGAAATCATTAACTAATCGTCGTTTTCATTCTAAATAATAAAACAATCTTTTTTTAACTTACCTTATATAGTCGTTTGGCGTAAGCTCATTTTCCAAATCGATATCACTATCAGTAAATACTCGAGGATTTTGAAGTATTATTGAACTTTGATATTTTGCTGACAATTGACTTGTTAAATATTCTCCAGTTGACATTTGCTGTTCTGTACACTGTCGTTCGAATGAATCTTGAGGACCTATGGTAATTTATAACAATGATATCAATACTAAGTAAATCTAACCGATTTCTATAATAGAATGTTGTTAGTGAATGCATTTAAAAGTAAATTCATGTCAAAATTTTTAGTGTAACATATTGTGAAAAGTTTTTTAAAAGTTGATCACACAGTGCCGACTGATCTCTAAAAATCTTTAAGGAGAACGGATGTAGAAGATATAAAAGACGAAAGAGTAAAGCGGCACAACCTTCAAGAGTGATCTACCACAAGAGGTAAGCAAGTTTCAGGTGAGCCAGGGGGAAAAAAGCGAGAGACTTCAGGGAAAGGAAATGACATGACGGTTCACGGATGTACTCAAGGAAGCTATAAAAAGCTCAGAAAGAGCCGAAGATATTTCATCCAATCAAATTTGGAAGAGCATTCCGGAATCTCTACGTGTAGCTTCCCTATTGGACAATTGCTAATAATTCCGTGTATGCGGATTGGAGGATTTTATAATGATGATTTCGTTTTTTACTAGAAAACTAAAAATACCTGATAGTTTTGTATCATATTTGACGCTGTTTGAGATGGCATTGCTTTCACTCGTCTTTTGTTTTCTCATTTGCAACTTAGAAGGATTTTAGAGTTCGAGTGTTCAAGTTGTACTCAGTATATCAAGAATTTAAGCTCTAGATATGACGATTTGTTTGCTTGAATTATTTCGATATCGATTTCATGTATGTCATCGTTATAACATCAAGTAGATTTAAGATCTTCAAGAACGTAAAATCGTTTCAGCTATCACTTCCGAATGTTTTCTAAGATAAATTATCAATCATAGTATTAAAAAATGTTTCAGTCACGTGATTTACTTTATATTTTAATCTATTTCACTACATAGCTGGAATTGTGCCAACCAGTTGTAACTATATTTCGTTATTAAATCAATATCTAACAGTTCATCGCTTACTGTTCCTGCAAATCTTTAGGTGAAAGGATTTATTTTTCAAAGAATTATATTTAGAGGAGTGGAACGGGAACTTGGATAACTACGAAAGTTATCATTCAGAAGACACAAGTGTTTGTTAACAATTGTCTACGCTAAATACTTCGGATCCGTTGATCACACACTATCAGCAACAAGCTAGTGTAGGAGAGAACAAACCAGATTTCAGTGAAGGAAGAAATCAGGAAGAAGCGCTGGAATTCGATAAGATACATATTGAGGAAATCACCCAACTGCGTCACTAGGCAAACCCTCACATGGAATCCTCAAAGCCGAAGGAGAAGAGAAATACCAAAGAACACATTACACTGAGAAATGGAAACAGACATGAGAATAATGAACCACAATTGGATAGAACTAGAAAGAAAGGATCAGGACAGAGTGGGTTGGAGAATGCTGGTCGGCAGCCTATGCTCCATGCGGCATAACAGGCGTAAGTAAAATAATAGTTTCTTCTTTTTGCGATAATCTTAAGTATGGCAAGATTTGGTGAATATATTCTGTGTTCATTTACATACCAAACTTTACCTACTACATTTACGGTAAGTTTTTTACTATTTTAGGAGACCAGACTAACTGTCTAGTTAGTGTCAGTCAGTCAGTCACAACGTAGAACTTCGTACGTACGTACATCAGTTCGAGTTGCCATACCACATTAGCACAGAGATGCAGTTGTCGATTCAAATCCCATAGTGGTAGAAGTAGTAGGAGTATAATCAGAAATCCAAAAGATTAGGGTTTGAAGAAATTATTGAAGGAGTATAGTACAGTGAAATAAATTTGGAAAGAGAAAAAGATAAAGACATGGTCTAGTTAGTGTAACCATTTTTATAATCATGTTTAATCTAAGAATCTCCGTCTACATATGTCCTTTGAGTTTCGGTGGTAATTCATAATCGATTGAGTTTAACCATGAACGCAAACCAGGTAGTCATTGCGTAGGAATACGCTAAAAATGAAAATATCGACTGTAAAATTTCCGTTTTTCTTCTGATGCCCTAACTGGTGTTAACTTGTGACTAGAATTATCTATACATAACTGAAAATTATTTGAGGAAAAACAATTCAGTTAGGTAATAAATACTGTACTGTTAACGATGCTTAAAATTTGAAAGTGGAATCAGCTGTCAGAGTTTTACTCAAATGTCAATCTCCTTGACAGAACCTCTCCAAGTTGTTTGGATATTTTCATTAGGAGGTTATGGGAATTTGTTGATATAAAGGGTATTCATTGTCTTGTAATTTACTTTAATTCTATGTTGCTTCAACACCCTTTAGAGTTCTTCTGTTGCATCATAGCAGTATGGTAAAACGACAGTACTAGTCCATTATTACTTAGCAACAAACCTTCACGTTTTATTTCACTTTTAAAACATTCCGTTTATCCTCTTCAAATGCAGTAAAATCGTTCACTTTTCCAAAGTGATTTAAAGCTAGAAAGAGAGAGTTTATTTTGCATTTATGTATGCAAACTGATCTGATTTCCTTTATTTACTTACTTACTTACGCCTGTTACTCCCAATGCAGCATAGGCCGCCGACCAGCTTTCTCCAACCCACTCTGTCCTGAGCTTCCTTTTCTAGTTCTATCCAGTTCTTGTTCATTCTTCTCATGTCTGTCTCTATTTCTCGGTGTAATGTGTTCTTTGGTCTTCCTCTTCTCCGTTGACCTTCAGGATTCCATGTGAGGGCTTGTCTTGTGACACAATTGGGTGATTTCCTCAAAGTGTGCCCAATCCACTTCCAGCGCTTCTTCCTGATTTCTTCCTCCGCTGGAATCTGGTTTGTTGTCTCCCACAGTAACTTGTTGCTGATAGTGTCTGGCCATCGGATCCGAAGTATTTTGCGTAGACAGCTGTTAATAAATACTTGTGTCTTCTGGATAATGCCTTTCGTATTTCTCCACGTCTCCGCCCCATACAGTAGGACTGTCTTGACATTTGTATTGAAAATTCTAACCTTGGTGTTGGTTGACAATTGTTTTGAGCTCCAGATGCTTTTCAGTCGTAGGTATGCTGCTCTTGCTTTGCCAATCCACGTCTTCACATCTGCATCTGATCCACCGTGTTCATCAATGATGCTGCCCAGATATGTAAAGGTTTCCACATCCTCCAAAGCTTCTCCGTCAAGTGTAATTTGATTGGTGCATATTGTATTGTATCGAAGAGTCTTGCATTTCTCTTTGTTTATATTGAGACCTACTGCTGCTGAGGCTGCTGCTACACTGGTCGTTTTCTCCTGCATTTGTTGTTGCGTTTGTGATAGAAGAGCCAGATCATCCGCGAAGTCTAAATCGTCAAGCTGCATCCTGCCTGTCCACTGTATCCCGTGATTTCCTCCAGATGTTGACGTCTTCATGATCCAGTCGATCCAGTCGATTTCCTTTATACATTGAACTTATTCTGACAATAATCTTAACGTATAAAACTAGAACGATAATTTTGTGATTAAACATTCTATCATTGAAACAAAACTAGTAAATATTGTAGTGTGTGCTACTGATGTCAATAGATATAAGTAGTATGTTACATCAGTTGAAAGTGAAATATCTGACAGACGAAAGATAAGAAGATTATAGAGAATAGAAAAAGCACAGATAGTGATTGATGTGAAAAATAAGAATTAGTCTAGTCTGATACAATTGATTGACATTTTACTAATGAAGAATTTACTGTATAATTTTTAGATTTTACTTTTAGATTCTGTAATTCTATGTTCAAGTACATTCGATTGTATATAGTTAATATCATGAGTCAATTGAAGCTAGACCACCATCGAAAACCTGAAAACACTCAAACGGTTGTTTCGTCCTTTTGTGAAAGCTCACAGCAGTGCGCATCCACGATCCTGCCCTGCGGGATTCGAACCCAGGACCTACAAGTCTCGAGCTATTGAGCCGGTATCCAACACTGTCAATGTCTAACCTCAACCAATCCACATTCGATTATCACCCCACTTATGTTCTCGTTCATTACAATATTATCAATTTTTTAAATATTTCCCTTGAAACGATTTATAATTATATGAAACAATAAAAGGAAACAAAAATGAACTGATTCATCTTTGTATTTACCTTCACTAATTTCTGAATCATTGAAAAATTTATTATCTAATTAATAAAACAAGTATATAAAATAAAAGTGAAGTTTAAAACAATGAATAAGAAAATTAACAACGATCTCAATATATTATACATGAATGCCCCCCCCCAAAATGCCCTGTTGCGGACGACAGTGAGGAGAGTCAGCCATCCCACTCAAAATGCTCACACATAATCACGTGTATATAGCCGCTACCAGGGAAGTTCTACTCACTGCCTTTTATCATGGCATTACTGTTGTTTACGAAATTAAGAAGACGAAAAACAAATGTTTGTCTCTATAATCTGGGTGATGGATATGGAGGATCCACCTATTCGAGTTGAAAAACTCTAATTCCAAACCAATGGTGCACATCCTGAGGAGACAAATGGTGTATGAACCTTTTGTTGTTGATCGGCTACCATGGGATTGCATTTCCTTACGTTGCTCCACTGCCTTATGGATCCGGACCTTCAGGTTAAATAATCCGAGTGAGGTCACCTAAGGAAACTACCAACTTCTGTTTGGGCATCCGAACAATACCACTACCTTTCAACAAGTCGAATGATTTATGTGGCTCATATCCATTTGGTGATCTCTTGAACAAATGTCTATGTGCTTAAATAAAAAATGAATAATTTAATATGAATACTTTAAAAAAGTTATTTAATTACTGCTAAACGGGAGTAAATACAGATTACAGTTAATGAGTTTTACATACGTCATTTTAACATAAATATTTGAGCAGGACATGAGAAGAATGAACAACAGTTGAAGAGAACTAGAAAAGAAGGCCCAGAACAGAGTGGGTTGGAGAATGCTGGTCGACGGCATATGCTTTTACTGGGGGTAACAGGCATAAGTAGGTATTTGAGTAGGAAGAGAATCGTAAAACAAATAGACAGATGGTTTATCAGTTATTTCATTAGTATAAAGCTTCAAGAAAACAAAACAACTTGTCTTATAAATTGAACAGAAAAACCAACTGAGCGACACATAAGAACATTTGTAAGTTGGTTAGACCATGTAATTAATATTGAAACGTTGAGTCACAAGTTCAAATCTATGTCTATCAACTTTATGTGTAGGTTCTATAGCTTCTTGAAATTTGTACAGTTCAAAAACTAGTGTGTATATCTGATTTGATCATTTTTATTTCATACATTGAAGAAACAGGTATCTAGTACTCTAGTCTCAGCTCTCAAGCTAATACAAGTTCATGTTGAAAAATCTCTGTAAGAAATACAAAATCGTTCTCGTTAACAATCATTAACATCATTAAAATGAAGATTTTTTTTTATTTCGACCACGAACCGGTTGATGTTAGACTACTATGAAAAACCTAGGAACACTAGACGACCGTTTAGTCCTATTATGACAGCCTTCAACAGTGCTCACCCACGATCTCTCTCGCAGGTTTCAAACCCAGGATCTCCAATCTGTCAAAGGTCATCTGGCGTGCGAACGCTTAACTTCTAGACCACTGAGACAGTATTCAACAATGTTAATGTCTAATCTCAACCAATCCATGAAGATTTTTTATTTGTCCTTCTTAGTTAACCTATTTGTAAAAACTACAGAGCTAATAGTTTGTATATTAAATTATATAAAATAGGAGGTATTTATTAATCTAAATAGTCTCAGATATGTTGAATGTCTTAGACACAACTACCAAAACAATTAATTCTATAATTAATCACTTCATTCAATATCAATTATCGATCGCTGAGCTTAGAAAATAAAACACACCTAGGAACATATACAATTGAGCTAAGATTCTCCTATTCTATCGATTTATATATCAATCAAATAATGAATGGTGGCTCATTTTCGTGGATGGGTTGAAGTTAGACATTAACACCATTGGATGACATCTCATTGGTCTACAGGTTAAGTAATACCAAAGGTCCTAGGTTTGAATCCTGAAAGCGGGATTGTGGATATGCACTTCCGAGGAGTCTCGCATTGGAACGAAACGCTCGTCCAGTTGTCCTCGGTTTTCCATGGTGGTCTAGTTTTAATTGATTTATGAACTCAACAATTTAAACTTATTTATTTCACAGAATCATTCACTAACTCGGAAAATTAAATTTTGACTATTAATCTTATATATTCCTCGTAATCAAAGAAAGAAAATAATAACTGACGCTTATGCTTGAATGTAGTTTAGTTTTTTTCTCTTTAAAGAACTCGATCATTCTCTAGTAATTATATATCTTGGTCAACCAGTTTTTATCTTATTTACAGACGCTTAATTGTGATATGATATTGCAAATATGTAAACACACATTACGTCATCAAACAATTGCTATTACTATAACCATAACAACAACATCAACAACTGTAGTGAACGAGAACTCAAGTTGATATAATCGATTGTAATTGAGCAGAGAAGTACAGAACATTTTACTGAATTCTGAGAACTATACAGTAAATACTTCATTTGCAAAATGTCAATCAATTGTCTCACAATTGATCATCCGTTTTGCAAATATCAGTAAATCGTCTCACAATTCACTGTTCCTTCGTTCCTATACTAATCGCATTCTGTTCCCGTTTTTGTTTTTTCGATCTTATCTACCTTCTGCTGCCAGATATTTAATTCCTGACTAGCACTATATTACTACTTATGTCGATATAAGTGGCACATACCACATTACTACTACTACTACTACTGTAAAGCGAACAGACATAAGTAATATGTAGCTGGAATTCGAACTAGGATACTTACCAGTAGAAGGTTGAAATAAAGAGAAAATGAAAGAAAGCAGAGGTCAATCAAAATAAAGACAGGATTGGAAGAATAATGAAGTATGTAAAGGACAACTTCCAGAAAGATATGTAAATGATGTATTGAATGTACGATTCCCATTTTATTTTACCATTAACAAACTATGTCGAATAAATCTTTATCTATTCTAATCATGTTTATACTTGCATCTTCAGTAAAACTATAATTTGTGGACGGGCCAATCAGAAGCGCTTGACGGATTTCAAGGTCAAAGCGCTAATTTTAGTACGTGATGCTCATGTACAATCGTTTCACAGTGGATTATAGAGAAAACGTGATAATTGAGAGGCTGCAAAAAATGGGACTACTAAGAAGTTATTTTATTTGTCATTGTGATAATCAAATAACTTATGGACCTTGTGCAGACTACAATGATGATATCTTCCGATGTAATATGTGATGGAGAAAGAAGTCTGCTAGAATAGGGTTTTTTTTCGTTTGATCCAGATTGAGAATAAGACAAATTATGACAATTGTCGCGAACTGGATAATAAAAGCACTAGTAATACTAGCTGCAACTGGGTACTACCATATATACGGATGATTGGAGAGCGTACAGTTGCCTACATAGACTTGATTATGTGCATCCACAAACGGCATTTTGTGGATACAACAACCGAAATGCACAAAAACAATATTAAGCTATGTGGTCGAGGCTGAAATAGTTTCTGCAACCTTATCATGGCTCCAAAGACCGACTATTATGGAGCCATACGGATAATTTCCTCTACCTTATGCATTACGATTTTAGAACATTCGAACCTCTTTCTAACCTTAACAAGTTTTTGGACCATATAAAAGAAGTGTATCCACTTTAATTATTTGTTTTTGTATAATATATATTAACTATATACTGACTTTTACTGATTGGGCAATGATTTTTAAGGTCACTAAGATTCGTTCAAAGGTCGTCCGTAAATTATAATCTCACCGCATCTTCTATCTAGTTATAAAAGGGGTTTTGTGGAGATTTAGTATTTATTATAGTTGAAAGCGTGAGTCAATTGAAGCTAGACCACCATGGAAAACCTGAAAACACTGGACGGCCGTTTCGTCTATCGGTTGAGGGCTTCGGCTCGAGACTGATAGGTCCTGGGTTCGAATCTCGCGGGAGCGGGTTCGTGGATGCGCACTGCTGAGGAGTCTCATAATAGGACAAAACGGCCGTCCAGTGTTTCCAGTTTTTCTATCTAGTTGTTGAGATGTTTGAAGCTAATAAGGTTTGAAGAATTCTAATACAATGACCAAGAAGATATTGTTATCAACATCGTTGAAAATAAACCAAACATCAAAATAACCGATACGTGCGCATATTTCAGTAGATGTCTCTTTTGGCTACCTTCAAAAACAATATAAAATCAATAGAAATTTACTAAACGTAACATAACCTCCCAAATGCAGATTACCAACTTACCACTTCTTGATATCACGTTGTAGTTTTCTTTTTCCGTTTGATTAAATTCATCAAATTCTGTGGAATTGGTGTTCGCTGATAAATATGTGTATTTTATGTGCAAAAAATACCAAACAATGATATATATATTCACATGGAACTCAATAATGAAAGTGATAAAATTAAGAATCCTAAACCCGCTTACTTCTTTTCAATCTTTTTTGCCGACTGTTTAATTCTACGTGGTTATATTCAGTAGGGGTTTTGTGGAGGTTTAGTATTTTCACAGTTGCAAACGTCAGTCAATTGAAGCTAGACCACCAAGGAAAACCTGGAAGCACTAGACGGCCGTTTCATCCTATTGTGGAACTCCTCAGCAGTGCGCATCAACGATACTACCTCGCGAGATTCGAACCCAGGACCTACCAGTCTCGCGCCAGAGCACTTAACCGATAGACCACTGAGCCGGCATCCAATCGTGTGTGCTGAGGAGTCCCATAATAGGACGAAAGGGCCGGAATCCGATAGTGTTTATGTCTAACTACAACCAATCCACGAAGTTGAGCAACCGTTCACCAATTGTCTTCAGTGAGTTGTTATCTCACAACAGACGTGGTTTGAACTCCACTAGTCACTGCTTCTCACTAGAACTTCAGGATTTACCTCTCCAAGTCAGTCACTAGTGAGCATATTCAGTAGCCAAAAACTTTATTCGTCAGAACTTGATGCTTGAAAAATTTCGGCGGGACCATAGTTTAGTGGGAGAGCCAATCAGAAGCAAGTGTATTGTTTCAAGGTCACAGCTCGTATTTCATAACACAATGCTTACATACTATCGGTTTACAGTGGATTTCAAGAAAGAAGTAATAGTTGAGCTGCTATAACAAATGGGATTGCTAAGAAGTCTCTTTATTTGTAATTGTGATGTTCAAATGACTGCAGGATTTTGTGCAGACTATCGTGATGGTGTTGTATTTGAATGTGATACAAGATAGAGGAAGTAGTCTGCTAGGACAGGGACTTTTTTCAATCGATTCCGATTGACATTAAAACGGGTTATGATAGTTGTTGCAAACTGGATAGTAAACGCACCAGTAACACTGGCTGCGACCTTTGCAGATGTTACTGAAGATTCACTTGTTCAGTGGTATGAGTGCTGTCAAGATATATATGCAATGAAAATGACAAGATTGAATCAGTCGTTTAGAAGAATCAGGAGAACCGTAAAACTCTACGAAACAGTCATTAGAAAATTTAAATTCAATAGAGGAGGAAGTGTTAAGGAAGACTGGATAAGAAGTACTTCCTTGAGTATACTGAGTAGGTTTTTTGGTATATATGATAGATCATTTTTAAAGGAACACTTCCAGAGCGTGAGAAAACGACAGGCCACAACAATAATACTAATGATACGAGAGAATGTGCAGCCGGGTACCACAATGTACACGGATGACTGGAAGTAATATCAATGCCTATCTAGACATGGTTACGTTCATCGTATCATCGTTCACAAATGACATTTTGTAGACCCCATCACACCCGTAATATAGAAGCAATGTAGTCGAGACTAAATGAATATTTGAGACCTTATTATGGCTCCAGTAGTAGACCATTGAAGTTAGTCTTGATGGATTATATTTTTGACAAACCTAGAACAAACAAAAACGAACCCAATAAATATTGAGACAAAATTGTGCATGTGGTATGTTCATGATATGGTCGTTGCTTTTCATATTTATAAACATATTGCTTCTATATTGAATTGTTTCAATAAAATTCATCTTAATACAGAATTTACAGTGAAACATGAATATAATGGCGAATTTAATTTCTTGATATTGGTAATCAGATCAATTTGAATGGTGAAATAGAAAGTTCTCTTCATCTTAAAGAGATCTGGGGTGGACTTAGTTTGAATTTCAATAGTTTCTGCTTGATAAGCAACAAAAAGGTTTTGATTAGAACACTGGTTAATCGTCCATTGAAATTATGTTCAGGAAGGAGGATTAAAGAAGAATTTGCTCAATCAAGTTTTGTACGGTTGCCAGTCTAACCGATTGGATATAGTGCACACTATGATGAAATATTAGGTGGTTTCTATTAGTCGGCAGAAAGCCTTGTGGCATTTATTGATCACATATAAAGCTGTGAAACTGGTTGTCTCTAATTCGAAGCCCACAAGCAGCATCAGTTCCCTTGAGATTATAGGTCACAAATAACATGAATTGTAGGTAAAAGGCAGAATTCCGACTACCTAAAACCACCTAACGTGTACTTCTGTTACTTATCAGTGCCTATCGCATGACGTCGAAAAAAAAATAATAATGCAATGTCATTCAGTATTAAAAGAAAACATACAAACTTTTCTAGATTCTCCATTGATCTCTCCCACTAAGTTTGAATCGTTCCCTATCAGATTGTTTTCTGCTGAAATAGGAAAAAAATATTAGAATTAAGTTCTAATGTAGTAATACTTAGTGATTTACACACTAATCTGCTTACACAATTACATCAACTAAGGACGTATTGAAATTACTTATTATTTATTTATTTGTACACATAAATATTTGTACAAGGGGGTACCAGATACATATGTGCCGCACAAACCTCATTCAATTTGTGTGAGGGCTGTGATACTGCTCAGGTGCCCAAACTCAAGCAGGTGGTTTTCTTAGGAGGCAACACCCGGAGCCTTTGATCTAAAGGTCTGATCCATAAGCCAGTTGAGCATCATGAGGAGATGCAGTCCCATGGTAGCCAGTGACCAACGATTGGTTCATACGCCATTTTTCCCTCGGGATGCCGGGGCCCATGTGCACCATTGGTTTGGAATCAGGGTTTTCTCACTCCCCTAGGTGGACTTTCTGTGTCCACCAGCCCGGTTAAAGCTCCGGACATTCGCTTTTCGTCCTCTCAATTTCGTAAAAAACAATAATGTCACGAGAAGGTAGTGAGTAGGACTTGTGTGGTAGAGGCTGTATACGCGTGGCCATGTGAGAGCATTTGGAGAGGGAGAGCGGACTCTCCCCACTCTCGACCGTACCAGAACATTTTGGCGGGCAGTATTGAAATTAATGAGTACTAGACGGCTATTCTTTGGTATTGGAAACTTCTCGGTAGTGAGGTGATGATTTCAACAAGGTTTACATATTCTTCAATTTATAGAATCTAGTCTGTCTTAAGATTCAAAATCGAAATCCAAGTTGGTTATCCTGTCATCTACTAATCAACGATTGTAGAACACACAAGTGCACAGTCACACATATATAAACCCGTATAATTTAGACTCCAACATGAACCAAACTGCTATCTTTCACTGACTAAACTTTCTGTAAATAACAAAGAACTTACGCATCAGTTCTTCTTTTTGATTATTTACTTGGCATTTATTTTCTGATAAGTTGTCTAGTACTTTCATTGTTGTCCTCAACTGACTTCGGTTCTCTCCATCTGAAATTTTAAGTTTGTAAAAAGTATTCGGTGAAGCTACAATGTAATATTGATCAAGTGAAGTGATGATAAAAGTCAAACGAAACGTCAAGAAACGGTGTTACATTTAACAATGAGCATGGTTTAAATCCAAAGATGGATTATCACATCGTTAAATTTGAAGGTACTAACCCAATATGATAGTGTTATGCATAACATGAGCATAAAAAGTATTAAGTATGTTATCATTTGTATTGGTTTGCATTTTACTGTTCTTGATACTTCTGACTGGAACGGGGAATTATGGATCTTTACAATGAGTGGCAAAAAGCATATCCTTCGAACAACTTAATGACTAACAGATGATTTAAAATGATTTGAAGTAGTGTATATCAGATCCGATCAGAACCAAGGACTTCGTAAACAATCAATTTTAAAAAAATAGATAATTAACAGTTGGTACAGATTTCGCATTCCAACAGGATGGCTTTCATGGTCAAATATCTTAGCAATAACAGCTCAGAATAGGAAGCTGTGTGGAGCAGGTTAAATTCCAACAACAACTATTAGTCCTCAATAACAAGCGCCGACCACCAGCACAATCTAAACTCATGTCTTTCTGTCGTTCATCAACCACGTAACGTTCATATTCCGAAACTTCTACCGTTATCTTCTTTGGAGTAATATGAGTTGTTTTACTGATTTACAAATGTGAAATGTACCTTTCTCACTTGTCTGACATTGGTTTTTGATACATTAAATATTGTTTCATCATTAAAAACGCGCTTCGAAATAACAAACATGTAGCTCTCACTAAAAGAAAACTATCTGTTCGAAACAATTAGATAATAATTAAAACAGACTTTAAAACGCTTTTATTGAAATTTATATTATGAGCTATTAAAAATAAAATAAAATATGAGCAACCCCAAATGCTCTGGTACACACGATGGTGTGAATAGTCCGTTACTCCTCTCGACATGCTCCCACATGACCACTTATATGCAGCCATTGCCACAGAAGTCCTACTCACTGCCTCCTCTTGTAGCATTACTGTTGTTTACGAAATTAAGAAGATGAAAAACGAATGTCTAGCTCCCAATCGGGTCAGTGGTTATGGAGGACCCACCCAGGGCAGTTGAAAAACCCTGATTCCAAACCAATGGTGCACATCCTGAGGAGACAAATGGTGTATGAATCTTTTGTTGATGATCGGCTACCATGGAACCGCGTTTCCTTACGTTGCGCCATACAGATCATCCAAAATCGTAATGCATAAGATAGAAGAATTCATCCTTATAGCTCCATAATAGTTGGTCTCTGTAGCCATGATGAGGTCATAAAAACCCTCTCAGCCTCGACCACATAGTTTCATTATTGTTTATATGTACTCCGGTTGTGTAAGTTTATCATTTTTATTACGGATATGTCCCTACAATACTCATACGACTGAACAGTGGAAGCTTCAGTAACGTATGCGATTATTGCAACCAATGTTACTGATGCTTTTATTATACAGTTGGTGGCAATTATTATAATATTGCTTAGTCTCAATCTGGATCGAAGGAAAAAGTTTCCTATTCTAGCAAACGTCTTCCTTCAAGATACACTATATTGAAGGACAACATCACGGTTGTCTGTACAAGGTCTACAAGTCATTTAATACTCGTAATTACAAATACAGAAACTTCTTAGTAGTTTCATTTGTTTTAGTTGCTTAATTGTCAAGTCTTTTTTAAAATTCGTGGTGAACCGGTCGTACATGAGAATAAAGTACTGAACTTGGCTCCGTGACCTTGGAATTCCTCAAACGCTTCTGACTGACTCGTCCATAAATTATAGTCTCGCCCATTAATTAATGGAAGGTATATCATTTATTTGATTAAATGATAAGGCGATTGTTGAACATTCAGAAAAGTGGGGGCATTCAAGATTTGAAACCATAAAACAACACCAAACGATGATAATATTATGATGAATAAAGCGAAAAAGCCTATCATACAGTGATGAAATCTTTGCAACCGTTTACAAGTAGGTTTCTACATATGCACGACGAGTATACTAGAAAGAAATGAAAGGATAGAATGGCAGTGGATGGCCACTTCGTTCTATTGTGAGAATCCTCAGCTTCCTGGTTTTCCATGGTGGTCTAGCTTGAATTAACTCATGATTTCAATTATTAAAATTACTAAAAATCTCCACGAGACCCCCTTCTGATACTAATCAGCATATGCTTACTAGTGACTGGCTTCAAAAAATATTTCCTTAAGTTCCATTGAGAAGCAGTAATCAGTGGAGTTCAACCGGGTCTGTTGTGAGATAGTAACTTACTGAAGACAATGATGGATGTGTCACTCAATTTTGTGGATTTGTTGAAATTAGACATTAACACTGTTGGATGTCGGTTCAGTTGTCTATAGGTTAAACACTCTCGCGTGAGATTAATAAATCCTTTGTTCAGGTTTCACGAGGTAGGATCGTGAATGCAAAATGCTGTGAAGTTTCATACTAAGATGAAATGGCTGTCCAGTGTATTCAGGTTTTCTTTAAAAATGATTTAAAATACTTACTTATTTGATATGATAAATTTTCATTCAAAATTGAATAATCTTCATTTTCTTCTTCTTCTATTGGTAAATTCATTATTCTATTACGTTGATAAATTTTATTAGATGATTGATTTATTAAATAATTATTAGATTTTGATAATAATTTTATTGATTTATCATTGATATTATTTAAATCATTTAAATGTTGTTTAATTATATCAGAATCATATGAATTAGATCGATTGTAGGATAAACGTCTCATTACATCACGATTCGTTGTTGATGTTGTCATTGATGATGATGTTGATGTTGATGTTGATGTTGATGTTGATGATGATGTTGATGATGATGTATTCATTGAATGATCTATCGGTGAAATCCATAATGATGTATGATCTATTAATGAATGATTATTATAGGATTGATTATCATTCATTTGATCTATAGATAATTGTTTGATTAATTTATTTAAGTTTTGATGACTACTACATTTACGTGATCTTAATGATCCATTATTATTAAATGAAGATTCATTTGAATCAGATGATATAATTGGTGATGCTCTTGTCTGAAAGATTAAAATTAGAAAATGTATGTGTTTATCGTAAATGAGTTACTTATTTTTAAAAAAAAAAAACAAAATATATACATTGATATCATTTACTTACTTACTTACGTCTGTTACTCCTAGTGAAGGAGCCTAGGCTGTTCACCAGTATTCTCCATCCAACTCTGTACTGAGCCTTCCTTTCCAGTTATAATTCATCCTTTTCATATCTGCTTCGATTTCTCGGCGTAATGTGTTCTTTGGCCTTCCTCTTTTCCGCTTCCCTTCACCATTCCAAGTTAGGGATTGAGTCGGGATGCACATTGGTGATTTCCTTAATGTATGTCCGATCCACTTCCAACGTCTTTTCCTAATTTCCTCTTCAGTTGGAAGCTGGTTTGTCCTCTCCCATAAAACGCTGTTGCTGATAGTATCCGGCCAATGGATGTTGAGTATTTTGCGTAGACAACTGTTTATAAATACTTGTACCTTCCTGATGATGGCCGTAGTAGTTCTCCACGTTTCAGCTCCATACAGTAGGACTGTCTTGACGTTCGTATTGAAGATTCTCACTTTGAAATTAGTTGAGAGTTGTTTTGAGTTCGATATGTTCTTCAATTGTAGAAATGCTGCCCTTGCTTTGCCAATCCTCGCCTTTACATCTGCATCCGATCCTCCTTGTCTATCAACGATGCTCCCCAGGTACTTGAATGTTTCCACCTCTTCCAGGGTTTCACCATCAAGTGTGATTGAGTTGGTGTTCTCCGTGTTGCATTTGAGAATTTTGTTTTTATCTTTGTGAATGTGGAGGCCTATCGATGCGGAGGCTGCTGCTACATTTGCTGTCTTCATCTGCATTTGGTCGTGTGTATGAGAGAGGAGGGCTAGGTCATCTACGAAGTCCAAATTATCTAATTGATTCTGAGATGTCCATTGTATTCCGTACATCCCCTCAGATGTCGAGGTTTTCATAATCCAGTCAATCACTAGAAGGAAGAGGAATGGGGAGAGTAGACAGTCTTGTATGACTCTGGTCCTTACTGGAAATGCATCTGTCAGCTGTCCTCCATGCACCACTTTGCGCTGTAGTCCATAGTATGTGTTTTGGATAATGTTGACAATCTTTTCAGGAACTCCATAGTGTCGAAGAAGTTTCCATAATGTTCTCCTATCCACGCTGTCAAACCCCTTCTCAGAGTCGATGAAGTTGACGTATAGTGATGAGTTCCACTCAACTGATTGTTCCACGATAATCCGTAGTGTCGCAATCTGGTCTGTGCACGACCGATCCTTACGGAATCCAGCCTGATGATCCCTACTGCGTCTTTCATCCGATTTAGCAGCACTCTGTTGAAAACTTTTCCTGGTACTGATAACAAACTGATGCCTCTGTAATTCTCACATTTGTTCAGATCTCCTTTCTTTGGTGTATTAATGAGATATCCTTGTTTCCAGTCTTCCGGTTACACTTCTTCCTCCTCCCAAATCTTGTTGAATAGAAGGTGAAGCATGTCTGCAGTTACTTCAATGTCTGACTTCAGTACCTCAGATGATATATTGTAAGGTCCTGCCGCTTTTCCACTTTGTCTGATGGCCATCTTGACTTCTTCGATCGTTGGTGAAGTGACATCTATAGGAAGGTCTGTGTGTGCTACTTCGATGTTCGGTGGATTCAGTGGTGCTGGTCTATTCAGCAATTCCACGATGTATTCTGCCCATCTTTTCCTCTGTTCTCGAATCTCAGTGATTGTCATTCCTTCTTTGTCCTTGACTGGTCTCTCTGGTTTGCTATATCTCCCTGTCAATTTCTTCGTTGTATTATATAGTTGTCTCATATTCCCTTCTCTTGCAGCTTTTTCCGCCTTCGTTGCTAGTTCGCCCATGAATCAATAAAATTGAAGACCCATCAGAAAATGAGACTCTTCACTAGTAAGGAAATATAACTTTGTATAACATTGAATTAACGACATCTAAGTCTTAAAATGAATGATTTGATATTCAACAGTACGAACGTAAACTTTATTTGATGTCATCAGTGAGTAAAATCTTCAATACTGACTTATAGACAAAACCATAATAGAAGTCCCTCAAATCTCTTAACTCCATAAGTGCATATTAACCACATGAAATGTCATTGTTTATTCTCATTCTAAACAAGTTCATAGTAATGCACGTGTTTATTAATCTAATGATAATGGTTTAAATAATAACAATAGTGATCATAATTAGATGAAAATGGTCTCAATAAAAAGGTAGGACAATGATTAAGTTAAAGTAAAATTTTACTAGCGCTCTAATCGTAGAACTAAATATTGTACTTCAGGCCCTTTGTAGCACAAAATGGTGGTTATCTGAACTCAGTCGATATTGAGTTAAGAGTTCGTAACGAAAGGTATTGTGGTCGAGTCTCAATGTGAACATCAACACTGTAATGCTTACAGATTACGTAAAAACAAGAAACATAATTGAATTGGTTAAAGTTAAATATCAACACAGATATCAACTGATTGGCCTTTTGGTTAGGGATTCGTGCGCAAGACCATATGTCCTGGGTTTGAGTCCCAAGTGTGGAATCGCGGAGGCGCATTGCTTGAAGTCCCATATCAGGAAGAAACGACCATCCGATCTATGATTCTAATCACAAAAACAGTTTCATCGAAGATGATTATGAAACGAAATCGGATTTTATTTCTATTGTTTTGAAAAGGAATATGTCCATTTATAGTAAAAGATAATTCATTCAAATAATATTCGCGTAAATTCTGTTAAAAGTACATTATTTTATAACAGTTTGAATTTGTACCAACTATGTCACTATATGAGGAGAATATTTTGGATTCATGAAATGCATCAGTATTAGTAAATGTTTATAATAGATTATCACTGTTGAAATCATGAGTCAATTGAAGCTAGATCGCCATCGAAAACCTAGAAGCACTGGACAGCCGTTTCGTCCTATTGTGGGACTCCTCAGCAGTGTGCATTCACGTTCCCACCTTGCGAAAACCTAAACCCAACACCTATCAGTCTCATGCGAGAATGCATAAAATGTAAACCACTGAACAGGCATACAACGGTGTTAATGTCTAACTTCAACCGATCCATAAAATTGAGCGACACATCCACCATTGTCTTTTGTGAGTTACTATCTCTATTGTGAGACTAAAACGGTCGTCCAGTGCTTCCAGGTTTTCCATGGTGGTCTAACTTCAATTGACTGATGATCTTAACTATATAAAATTACTAAAATCTCCACAAAACCCCCCTTCTGATAAAATCATTATTTATCTGAGAATTTTACATAAACTACACTTACTGGTATTGACATTTGCATTTTCATTAAAGAATTTTGACGAAATAACTTATAATCTGTTAAACTATCATCATTAGGAGATGAATTGTCAGATTCACTTGTTTGTACTGCTTCATTTCTTCTTGTCTTTCAAAAAGAAAAAAACGAAATTAAAATATTCAAGAAGATTGAGAATATGAATGTCATTGTGCGAAATTCAGTTTATTATTTCAATAGATAACAAAGTTAAGTGATTCTAAGCAAAGATGGATAGTGGCTAACAATGGAATCCAGGATACACGTCTCGTCCTATTTAGGAATAGTCGGTGGGATGTACCTGAATCTCTGAGTTGATGTTTACTCCAAAACTCGAATCCAATACTATTTGCTTCAAATGCTATCACGTTATCCAATTAACTACTAAGTCCTGATAGTCAAGTGATTATCAGGAACGAGGGTTCATGGATTCCATTGCTAGCCACTATCCATCTTTGCTTATAATGCTTGTGAATTAAGACAATACCGAGGCAATCTGAACAATATGCACATATACCAATAAGCGACTGATCAATTGCAGTCCCAAATATCAATGAGAAGATTCAAGTAAAGAATACCAAGTGAATTTAAAGTTAAGTGCGTTATCAATAATTCGTTTAAAATTATGTAACTTAAACTTAAAAGTCATTAGATCCTGTCTATTGATAGATAACTTGTTAAAAACTTACTTAGGAGTTACCTGTCAGATTTACATTGATATTATTGAAATTTTATTGAGCCTTCTCTTATTACAATACTTTCAAAATATGTCACCCAGAGTCTCCAACCATTGGTTACGATAGCCGCGCGGAACCCAATCAAGTAGTCTACATCTACCAACATGGCTTAGACTAGAAGTTAGTGACTTTGTTGACTCATACCACGTTTTGGTTAGGCCGCCCCTAACTCTCCTCCAATCATCTCCCTAAATAGTCAGTATTGTGCATTATAGTAATCGGTGTTCAGCAATACATAGCACGTAGCCCAACCATCTCAAATGATGAGTATTGACAAGATGATAGTTATCGTACGTATCATTATTAATTTCAGTAAAGAAGGTATGACTTTTGTCGTGATATCACGGACTAAATTGCTTTGTGATGTAAAACTAATGTCTATGACTATGTGAAATAATTTGTCACATGTTGGGGATACCCAAGATACTTCTCGAAAAAAGACTAGAAAGGCTCTGAAAACACTGGGAAAATCTTTTATCCAATCAACATTCAATAGAAGTGTCTCGAAAACATTTAGAAAGCGAACAGTCACGTGTCACATTTCTGGTTGGATGACTACCTATCCTGCTACTATGTCTTGTAGAGTTCCAGAATCTTTCAGAAGCCAAAGACTATCTGGAATGCTATAAATACCCTAAGGTTTTCTGTACATAAACTAAACTTGGAGTAGTGCATTCTTTTCACATATCGCCCCTTTTCTCTCTTGTTCAATTTTTCGTGTGGATTTAGCTTGAAGTTATTAGAAGAGCATAGGAAACCGATTCAGGAGTTCAGTCAGAGTATTTATCACAACAGAATTACCATCGCTTTAAAAGTTAGAAATATTAAATAATGTTCTTGATCATTTTGACCTAGCTATATTTCACTGGTTCTGTAGGTCAGCTTACAAATACTGAACTAGCAGATTCAATTCAATGCGTTGCTATGACAGTGTCATAGTTTCAATAGTGTAATAAGAAGATGGAAATTATCAGAACTTTGTGATATATTAGTGCAATACATTTCGAATATTTATATATAAAAATAAAAGGTCAACTAGACTGGAAATGGGGGGTAAGAGTAGACAAGGATAATAATACTAATAATAAAAATGTGAAAAGACATGAAAACGATTGTCTCATCCCACTGCGTTTACCCATTTAAATGTGTGTGTGTGTCACACATACAAAGGAGGAGCAATCATGATCTGAAAATTAGAGTGTGTGAACATGTACCAAAATGATTGCAGAAACAAATAGAATCAAACTACCCGAGTAGAGGATAAACATCCATCATCCCCTATTGACAAACATATAATCGAAACAGGGCATGAAATTCATATTAACTCGGTTTTTGTGGTGTTGTATAAAGGTGTAAAAGGGCGTATACTGAAGTTTATTGTAGCCTTAGCCATACCAAAATTCAAACCCCCTTTGTGTATTCAAAAACAGCTAATATATCACATAGTTCTGATAATCTTCGTCTTCTCATTACATTATTAAAGCTAGACCACCATTGAAAACCTAAAAGCACTGGACAGCCGTTTCGTCCCAATATGGGACTCCTCAGCAGTACGCATTCACTATTCCGCCTCACGAACGAGATTCGAACCCAGGACCTATTAGCCTCGCGCCAGAGCACTTAACCGATAGACCACTGAGCCAGCATCCAACGGTGTCAATGTCTAACTTCAACCAATCCACGAAATCGAGCAACCATTCACCAGTGTCTTCATTGAGTTGATAATTCGAATCTCGCGAGGCGGGATCGTAGATGCGCACTGCTGAGGAGTCCCATAATAGGACGAAACGGCCGTCTAGTGCTTCCAGGTTTTCGATGATGGTCTAGCTTCAACTGACTCATGATCTCAACTATATAAAATTACTAAAATCTCTACAAAACCCCTATCTGATAAGTAAGAAGGTTTTTTTACATTAGAAATCATCAGTTGGTTGGGATTTACTTATGTTTAGATTTTAATCAGTCGAAATTAGACTTAAATTGCTCTCTGTATAGTAAACATTAGTTTATTGAGAATTTATTTTATTTTGTAAATAAACAAAATAACATCATAGTGAAAAAAATAGAAGGGGTCTTTGAAGATTGTTGAATCTTATAGTAACAGCAAAAATGTCCTCACTAATAACTTATTTCGAGAGGTAATCTCAATAGTTCTGGTGAGAAGCCACAACTACCAGAGTACATGACGGAAGTGAGACAATCATCACTAATTATTGAACGACGATGGAAGATGGTTGTGTAGTACGGTGAGCTAAAAAAAGAAACCAAGCTATGCTAAATTCAATTGTCTGAAGGTTAAATGCTCCTTGCGAAGCCTGAAGGTCCTGAGTTCATTTCCTAGTGGGTTCGTGGATGCTTAGTGCTGTAGATTCTTATACTTGAACCAAAAAATAGACGGTTATTTCTGGGTGTCAGTGGTTGTTTAACGAAAATCAGCCCGATATGTAAACTATAAAACAACGTTACCTGTAAAACATGAAGCCATAACAGCATAGCATCCTCTGTTTCGGCTTGAAGGATATGTTCTTTTCCATCTGATCTGTGATCAGAAAAAAAAAACACAAATCAGAGTAAATCGTTCTAAATAATCATGTAGATTAACTAATCTACTTCAGTTTTATTGGGAATAAATAAAACCTCACGTTGAATCTTCTGAAAATCTGTCATTCTAACCAATGAGTTACAATACGCTTTCATGTTTGGTTACCATTTTCTTTAAGTATTAGAACACTACAATTGTTGAGATATTCCACCTTCGACTACCTACTAATATATAGTCAGTTAGTCAGTCAATCAATCAGTCAGTTAGTAACAAGCAAGGAGGAATCTGACACATCCTATTTGTTCAAGTTGTGACACTTCATCAAAACAGTCAAACGAAATCGTCAAGACATATCTCAGGTCAATATAAGCAATAACAATATTAATAAATGTATTAGAAAGTTTAGACATAGACAAAACGAATCAAGTAGACACAATCAGTTCATGAATAAAACGTTTAAGGAGAAGCAAAACGTGAATGTCTCTGCATCATGAACGAAGTCTCAAATTGATCATGATGATTACGTGAACATAACTAATGTAGTCTTTACCTAATAATACAGTTCAGTATAACAATCAATGAGTTGATGAACTGATGAGAGTTCTTCATTTGGTTATCTAGAACATTCTTCTAACGTACTTACACACTAGTAAACATTTACTTCATGTCAGGCTGTAATTAGGTGTACATGGAAACCAAAATTTAGCAAACATCATTCAGAATTATTCACCAATTAGTAACATGTTGTAATCCAATGAATTTGACTTTTCAACAATAATCTAAACCTCCATTTCACTGACCTTTTAGGATAGACTGAAGTTGCGACCAGTAATCGATGAATTCCAGTTGGCGACACTAATTAATAACCAGTCAGTATATATTATCTTGTACTCAAAGTCAACTGTTTTCTGTTGATGAGTTGCAAAGAATTTCGCCTTACGAATTTTAACACTTCAACGATATAGTTGAAACCATAAGTCAATTTAAAAGATAGACGACCATCGAAAACCTGGAAGCACTGGATGGCCGTTTCGTCCTGTTGTGGGACTCCTCAGCAGCGGAGATCTGAACCCAGGATCTAGCAGTCTCATGCTCGAGCGCTTAACCTCTAGAACTACTGATCCGGCATTCAATGATACATAAATATCATTTATCAGAAAAGAAACGTTATCAACCATTATTAAAATTTTGGTTTCAAAAAATTCCAGCAAAAACGACACTAAGCTCTGAATGCGTTAGACATGATCGGCAATAAATAAAGAATACTGATCCAAAATCATCTCCCCCAAACCCTGAATCAAAACTAAAATTGTGTGTTAAGCTATCAACTTATTTCGTGATAAGTTCTGAGATCTCAAATAGGTTTTCAATTTTATGAGTAAAGCAGTGGACACCGACCTCATTGAATTATTAGCGCGTTATATTGTTAAGTTTGAAATATGGACCACTGATTCGGTGGTCCATATATTTAGCCATTATCATAAGAAGTGACTGGCTTTAGTTACTTTTCATATAGGGTTGTGGTTAAACCTGTTGAAAAGTTCAATACTGGCATGAAATAACTTTCTACTGCATTCTCGTTCTAAAAGGATGCATTATACAATTTTAAATAACAATGATTAGCATTTTACTTACATAATACTAAATTGATTATGTTCAGCAGGATCAATATGAAATACAGCTCCATGAATATTGATTGTTTTCAATGGTTCTTTATCTGGTATAGCTGCATCCATTTGATTGCGATAAGCCATCAATTTCAATGTGGACTCTTCAAATACATACCAGTGACGTTGAATCCCTTTCAATCTTTTGAATGCTGGACAATTCATTTAAAAAAAAATTTTTTTTAAAGAAGCAAAATAAATCCATTTTTCAGATTTTGAAAGACATTTCAATTTCTACATTTATTTCTGTTTCCTTGTCAAATAGTCAGAATTGAGTGGTCAGTTAACCTGAAAATAATTCATGGAATCCATTCTGAGAAGTAGCTTTATATTTTCGCACTTGAAATCACAAATCGATGTAAGCTAGATCACCATTAGGAATATGAAAGCACTGGATGACAGTTCCGTTTAGGTATGAGACCGCTCAGTAGGGTGCATTCGCGATCCTTCTCATCATACTCGAACCCATGACCTTCTGTCCCATGCACGAACACTTAACCTCTAGATCACTGTTGAGGACTTACGTGTCAGGACGAAACGGCTGTCCAGTGCTTCCAGGTTTCCAATGGTGATCTAGCTTAGGTCGACTCGTGATTTCAAGTGCAAAAATATAAAGCTACTTCTCAGAATGGATTCCATGAATTTTCAAGTTAACTTTTTGCATCAAATCACGAAACAGCTATTTAGCCACTGAAGCTTGTCGGAAACCAATGAAAATAAAGTTAATTTCTTTGTGTAAGTAATCGTCAATAAGCCGCTGATCGTTATATTGTGTTAGTTGTGACAGTATATCTATGATGTTAAAGCGACTGACGCCGTCTGTGTAAATAGATTACACGTCTACGTTTATGACAATTAGTGAATAATGCAGTAACTCATCGCATGTAATATACTCAATATCAAATCATTTAGACTAGTGACTAAACTATAGCCTTATCGTTTGTATTCAACCAGGACCAGAAACTAGACGATTATGACATTGATCAATACTTACTGATAAACTGGTATGAATGGACATTCAAATGGAAACTCAAAAAATTAGGTGAGAAAAATATAATATAAACACATTTAACCTAGCTCAAGAACTAGCCTCTGCCTGCAATGTCAGTTGGTGAAACTCATGAAGTACACATTTATGTAGTCGGTTTAGAGCAACACTTTTTGTGTCAGGGTGACCATACTAACCTACTTGCCTGGAGAACGCAGGTCGACGGCTTATACTCCATTGGGAGTAACAGGCATAAGTCAGTAAGTAAGCAATGATACTAACGTACTACAGAAACATAACTAATTGGATCAAGAATCAATCCTGTCACAGTTTTATAAAGGTGAACATCTTATCCTGTATTAGTCATTGTTCAAACCCTAGACCATTTAATTCTGTTCTAATAATTTCAAAGTATTTCTAGTTTAATAAATCTATATGTTTGGCAACGTGCGTAAAGAACAGCTCTACCATTCTCTTTATTTTACTCACTAGTATACGTGAATATCATATCATAATGCTTAGTGTCTATTTACCTTAAAAGACTCAATAAACAGATGTCACGTTATAAACTAAACTGATTTCAGAGAGTGCCTAGCATGGCAACACGGTAAATGTTCCGTATTGATTATGACTCATCAATTGTATGTGAATGCAACCCAGTTTTCATATTCATATTATGACAATCTCCTAGTACTAGACTAATATTTCAAACGTCATTAAACATTTTTTTTGAAATACTTAAACAGAGACACTGAAGCCTAAGGCTAGATACCAACTATTAATTATAGATTACAAGAGGGAATCTTTTAATAAAGGGTCATTTTATTTAGTGTTTAATATAGACAGTGTTATATACGAACTACATCAAATCTAAATAGTCATGTACATTTGTGGATCAGTTGAAGTTAGACACTAACACCGTTGGGTGCTGGCTCAGTGGTCTAGCGGCTAAGTGCTCCTGCGCGAAGCTGGTGGGTCCTTGGTTCGAATCTCGCTTGTGAGTGCGGGATGGATGGTGGATGCGCACTGCTGAGGAGTCCCATAATGGGACGAAACGGCCGTCCAGTGCTTCCAAGTTTTTGATGCTGGTCTAGCTTCAATTGACTCATGATTTCAACTATGAATATAATCATATTTTATTCATCTATCAATATGTGGAACATATTGACTAACTATCATTTTGAACAGTCTAAATTCATTTCAATACAATGCAATTGCTGGATTTATTTCAGTACGATACAATTACTGAATATTCTAAACTCGTTGTTATTTATATTCTTAAACATTTGATGGTGATTCTAATTAGTAAGGCCCCCTAAGAAAACCATTTACTTCCATCTGGGCAACCGGGTAGTATCACAGCTCACATACACAAATTAAGTGACTTATATGGCGCATATGTATTCGATGCCTCTTTGTATCAATATTTTTATGTGTTCAAATAAATAATAAATATCATCCAAGTGTCAGTGTCAATATCAATCTAATTAAATTACAAGGAGGTCTAGTTCTCGTGTTATTTTAATACCATTCATATTTCACTTTAGTTGTGTTAACTTAGTCCTGTTATTATTTTAGATGTTTATGACTACTGTATATACTAGTTAATTTAATTCACATAGTTCACAGTTATATAATGTATACTCTTATGGGCCAGGGTAATTTTGCACTGGTTTTCAGGAGAACAAGACATCAACCAAATTTTCACACGGCAAACTCAAACAGTACAGCTCAATCCCGTTTAACAGGAGAACCAGACACTGTCCAGGCTTAGGCCAAGCAATACAACTCAATCCCATAGGAAAACCAGACACTATATAAGCTTCAATGCTACAATCTGAACTGTAAAACTCAATCCTGTACCGAAACCATACAGGTACCAAGCATACTGGTGGACCATGTTAAAGATAATAAACATGACAATTTCACTCTTATTTCTTTACATAATAACATCCAATCGATTAAAAAAAAAAGAGAAAAAAGAAAAGAAAAAAATATCACAAATGTCGTTAGTAGTTAGTTGTGTAGATAAAACAAAAGAAAAACGCAGTGGTTAATTTGTCGGTTAGAATGCCATCCATACATTACACTTATTGAGTAAGTTATCCTATTTGAATAATGGAAGCTTCAATTAATTGATGATTAAAACAAATAAAAAATGTCAAATCATTATTGAGATTTATTATCATTTGTTCATTTTCTAATACACTAACTGTTCAAAGAGGAGATACCTTCTTACAATAGAGGAAACTATAAAACTAAGGATAAATTATTGTACTATAGTATAAGCAAATATTGGATAGTGGTTAGTAGTGGAATTCATTTTAACAAGTATTTCGTCCTATTTAGGACATAACAGCTAGATATACCTGTAATTTGGAGTTGATGTTCACTCTGAGATTTGAACCCAGTATCGTTTGCTTCAAACACTATTGCGTTATCCACTTAGGTATTGAGCACTGTTAACCACTTGCTTGTGCAATAGAGTGAAGTTTAAGTTTATTTGGTATTATCAGAAGGGGTTTTGTGGAGATTTTAGTATTTTATAGAGTTGAGATCATGAGTCAATTGAAGCTAGACTACCATGGAAAACCTGGAAGCACTGGTGCTCACTAGTGACTGACTCCTTGAGGTATTTCCTGGAGTTCTAGTGAGAAGCAGTAACCGGTGGAGTTCAACCAGGTCTGTTGTGAGATAGGAACTCACTGATGACATTGGTGAATGGTTGCTCAATTTCGTGAATCAGTTGAAGTTAGAAATTAACACCGTTGGATGCCAGCTCAGTGGTCTATGGGTTAAGGGCTTCGGCTCGAAACTGGTAGGTCCTGGGTTCGAATCCCGCGAGAGTGGGTTCGTGGACGCGCACTGCTGAGGAGTCCCGTAATAGGACGAAACGGCCGTCCAGTACTTCTAGGTTTTCCATGGTAGTCTAGCTTCAATTGACTCATGATCTCAACTTTATTTGGTATTGTTTGATTAAATCTTCATATTGATGTTTAGGATTGAAATTGATCAGTCTCTTATTGGTATATGTGCATACTGTATGTATTGTACTCTAGGTTGAAATAAACTTCTTTTCTTTTACATCATATGAATAACATAATATTTTCTTATACAAACAACACATATAAAGGTGAGAACAAACTGTTTTTGAATACACAAAGGGGGTTTGAATTTTCGTATGGCTAAGGCTTCAATAAACCTCAGTATACGCCCTTTTACACTTTTAAACAACACAACAAAAGCTGAGTTAAGATCAATCTTATGACCTGTTTCGATTATGTGTTCAGCAACAGAGGAAGATGGATGTTTATCCTCTACTCGACGACATGAAAACGATTGTGTCACATCTCACTGCGTTTACCAATTTAAATGTGTGTATGGTCACATATACATAGGGAGGAGCAATCGTGATCTGAAAATTAGGGTGAGTGAACATGTACCAAAATGGTTGCAAAAACAAATACAGTCGAAGGACCCAATAAGAATAAAAGTGAATTTAATAGTGTAGTTTTAAGACAGAGATTGAAAGCAGTCATTTAGAAAACCTATTACACTGTTCAATAGGTAGGTAGTGTTTAAAAAGTCTAAGCCCATAATTTCAAATAGGCCTAGACAATGTATAAATGATTGCGTCATATCCCACTGTATCTGCCAATATCTATGTTTGTATGAACACACATACATAGGAAAGAATATAATTGAACAATATAATCAATGGTCATTGAATATGTGCTTAGATGGGCTTCAAAATCAAATAGTGTCAAATGGTCCGATAAACACAGGGGAGATAGAAAATCATGTTCATCAATAGCAAAATATAAAAAATGACACATTGTAAGTAAAGATGAATAGTGGCTAACAGTGGAATCCAATTTGACTCGCGTTTCGTCCTATTTGGGACACATTAACTAGATATAACTGCATCTCAGAGTTGATGTTCACTCTGAGACTAGTTGCAGTCCTAAACATCAATGAGAAGATTCAAACAAACAATACTAAATTTAATGACACATTTGTTAATCACATTTTACATTGTAAATTTTAAAGAACCTTAGTAACAGATTAACATTAATACTTATTATTCACTTAGTATTGTTTGTTTGGATCTTCCCATCGATGTGTTTAGGACTGCAACTGGTCAGTCTCTAATTGGCATATGTGCATACTGTGCGTATTGCCTCGATATACCTTAATTCACAAGCATGGTAAGCAGAGATGGATAGTGGCTAGCAGTGGAGTGAACATCAAGTCTGAGATGCAGGTACATCCAGCTGACGAGTCCCAAATAGGACGAAACGCGCGTCCTGGATTCCACTGCTAGCCACTATCCATCTCTGATTAATACTTATTGTTTATTTTTATTAATTGATTAAGTTAATAATCTTTCTTGATTTTACGTTATATGACAAAATTTTCATTCAATAATGATAGTGTTATGATGTTATTACTTCAAGTGATCAACAGATAGAAATAAGGTGAAAGTAAGAAAACTACACGAAACCCGGATCCAGGGTTTCCTGTTGACTACCTCCAACCACCATCTTATCTCAACATAGTGCACACAGTGTCGAGCCACCTAGACTAGTGACTACATTGCCACTTGATCGATAGCATCCGATCAACACTAAGACAGACTTGACACGCATGACATTGATCACAACCCAGTGATCAATCAATTGTGATCACATCTCAGTTCTACAGGAAGTCGGGAGCAGCTCAGTGGTAACGTCTCTGACTGTGAAGCTGGGCGACACGAGATCGAATCCGTCAGGGAGCACCAGTTCCCTTAAGATTACAGGTACACCTTGCTGACCAGTGCCAAGTAGCACGAAACCCGGATCTAGGTTTACCTGTTGACCACCTCCAACCACCATCTTATCTCAAGAAAACTACACTATTACTGACCAATCTTTGTTTTTCTCTCTTTTGAACAAAAGTACAGTAGTGAAGATCGTTTCTTAACATATGCGGATACTAAATGGAAAATTGAAGTATATACGATTATGACCATACATAGTGCTCTGAAGAAAAGTAATACTATCTTGTCAATAGATCAGAATCTAACAGCTTTTGTCTTTTAACTTAAATGATGAGATAATGATGTGTGACAATCATGATCATCTAATTTATAAGTATCATCTTGATCTGTAATTTCATTTATTCAATCTAAAGTCATGGAATCTCATCAATACTGATTATTAAATAACTGATCATAATCTGATTACAGTTTAGTAAAACTTTTTTACCAATCAAACAGCTAAGTTAACAACAAACAAACGTTACTAGATTCAAATCCCAGAGTGAACATCAACTCTGAGATGCAGGTTCATCCAGCTGACGAGTTCTAAATAGGACGAAACGCGAGTCAAACTGGATTTCACTACTATCCACGATCATTTCAGCTTATAATACTTGTGAGTTAAGGATATATCGAAGCAGTTTACACAGGATACACATAAGCCAACAGCAGACAGATCAATTGCAATGAGAAGATACAAGTAAATAACACCAAAAGTTGACAACAAAAAAGTTTAATCAATGCAAACTTTCATTAGCTTATTAAATCATTTATCATTCATTCCTAGAGTCATTTATTTTCACTTACCAGATTCAAAATATGCAGCAATATCCGATGCATTATTCACAAGCGGAGCTAATAAATGACACATTTGAAAAAATATATAAATGAACTAAATTTAAAGAATATTGATTGAACACATTGAAATAATCAATAGAAATCAATCATTTATTGATTTATTAATTTATTGATTATTTGAATAACTAAATGGAAATGGAATAATTTTGTAATTACATAATTGAAAGCGTGAGTCAATTGAAGCTAGACCACCATCGAAAACCTGGAAGCACTGGACGACCGTTTCGTCCAAGTGTGGGACTCCTTGGCAGTGCATATCCATGATACTGCCTCGCGAGAGGTGAACCCAGGACCTACCATTCTCGCGCCAGAGCACTTAACCGATAGACCACTGAGCCGGCATCCCATGGTGTTTATGTCTAACTCCAACCAATCCACGAATTCGAGCAACCATTGACCAATGTCATCATTGAGTTGATATTAGTTACACATTAACACCATTAGATACCGGTTCAGTGGTCTACGCGTTAAGCACTGGCGCATGAGATTGATAAGTCCTGGGTTCGAATCTCGCTGGTGAGGCGGGATCGTGGATGCGTACTGCTGAGGAGTCCCATAATAGGACGAAACGGCCGTCCAGTGCTTCCAGGTTTTCGATGGTGGTCTAGCTTCAATTGACTAAAGACTTTAACCATAAAACGAAGTATGTTGCTAACACTAATCCTACCATTATTCATAGAATTATTTGTGATTTTGATTGCAATACTTCTAGATTGATTCGGTTAAAATCGGTTTTGTATAGACTTCAGATGATTTGAAGATTGATTTGTATCAAGACTTAATACCACTTAGGAAGAACTTTTTAAAGACGTATTTAATTTGTGTATTGGTTAAAATTTTACAGAATGCATCAATCGAATCTAGATTATAGATGAGCTTTACTAACGAATATCTAGGAATATATAACCTAAGCTCGAAGTGTCCTTGTGATTGCTTTAAAATACACAACACAACGGAGTTGATGAATTCTCATCTTATGTTAAGAAAGGTGGCTTAGTTACTGCTATCATATTGTGGTGTGTACTACTTATGTCTACATAAGTAGTATATAACGCTAGTCAGGAATAGAATATCTGGCAGTCGAAAGTTGAGAAGATCAAGAAAGAAAGAAAGAAAGAACGGGAACAGAAAGAAATTGATATGGAAACGCAGTAACAATAAAGTTTGAGACAATTAATGAACATTTTGCAAATGAAGTATTGACTGTATGGTAAGCAAAGATGAATAGTGGCTAGCAGTGGAATCCAGGACTCGCGTTTCGTCCCGCTTGAGACTCGTCAGCTGGATGTACACGCATCTCAGAGTTGATGTTTACTCTGGCACTCGAACACAGTACCTTTCTCTTCAAACGCCATCACGTTATTCACTCGACCACTGAGTCCTGAGTCCATCTTTGCTTACCATGCTTGTAAATTTAGGCTATATGGAGGCAATACGCACAGTATGCACATATGCCAATTAGAGACTGGCAAGTTGCAGTTCTCAAACATCAATGAGAAGATTCAAACAGACAATACGAAGTGAATTTATTGACTGTATGATTCTCAGATTTAACTAAGTGATTCTGGAATTTTATATTCATCAATACATTTGGTTAGTCTCCGTCCTATTGTAGTGAACAGAACACGTGTGCCGATAATCGAATGTATTTGGGTAGGAATTTGTAGACTATCTCACTAAAATTTGACAATCATACAGTAAACAGTTAATTTGCAAATTATTAGTGAATTGTCTCAATGTTGACCATTCCTTCTGTAAATATCAGTCCATAGTCTCCGATTATTATTGTTCATACATTTTCATATTAACTGAGTCCCGTTTCTGTTCTCTCCTTATCGATCTTCTACTGAAATACATGCCCTTGTACGGCTGAGAGTGGGGAGAGTCCGCTCTCTCTCTCCAAATGCTCTCACATGGTCACGCGTATACAGCCTCTGACACATAAGTCCTACTCATTGCATTCTCGCACCACGGGTGTTGTTCACGAAATTGAGAGGAGGAAAAGCGAAAGTCCTGCACTTTAACCGGGTTAGTGGACACAGACAGTTCACCTAGATGAGTTGGAAAACCTTGATTCCAAATCAATGATGCACATGGACTCCAGTATCCTGAGGGGATAAATGGCGTATGAAATAATCGTTGATTACCAGCTACCATGAGACTGCATCTCCTCACGGTGTTCCACTGCCTTATGGATCAGAACTTTAGGTCGAGGGCTCCGGGTGTGGCCCTCCAAGGAAACCATCTGTTACCTGAGCAGTATTACAGCCCTCACACAAATCAAATGAGATTTGTGTGGCGCATATATATCTGGTGCTTCCTTGTATCTATATTTATGTGTTCAAATAAATAAATAAATGACCATCGTTATATACTACTTGTTTGGATATAAGTAGCCCACACCACACTACTTGTGTTCGCTTTCACTACATTACTATTACATCGATCAAATACAATAAAACGAAAGATACTCAGAATCAATTTCTTAAATAGTTGAGTGTAGTTTTGTTTATCCCTATTTCTATACCATTAAATGTATGTATTTTACCTTAAGTATTCAATATTAATTGACCTGAAAGGTGAAAAAACAAACTGTAATATAGATGATCATATTGAATTGAATTGAATCAAGTTTACTTTTTTTCTGTTGTTATGCTATAATTTAACTTATTAAAAGTTTTTGTTATCTATCACTGGAAATAATTAAACAAAGAAACTCATTTAAACAAAACTTTGAAAGATTCAATATGTATCTACACATATATCTTTTCTAAAACAATAGTTCTTTCATAGTTGAAAGCATGAGTCAATTGAAGCTAGACCATCAAGAAAAATTTGGAATCACTGGACGGCCAACTCGTCCTATTGTGGGACTTCTCAGGAGTGTGCATCCACGATCCCGCCTCGCGATCGTGATTCGAACCCAGGACCTACCAGTCTCGTGCCAGAGCACTTAACCGATAGACCACTGAGCCAGCATGCTATGCTGTTTATGTCTAACTCCAACCAATCCACGAAATTGAACAACCGTTCACCAATTGTCTTCAGTGAGTTCTTATCTCACAACATACCTGGTTGAACTCCACTGATCACTGCTTCTCACTAGAACTTCAGGATTTACCTCTTGAAGTCAGTCACTAGTGAGCATATGATTATAATCAGAAGGGGTTTTGTGAAGATTTAGTTCTTTGTTTTTGTTCAATAAAATAAAAAGAAATAAGAAGAAAAAACAAAACTATCCTCTTATTTCATTTTATTTTTTCTAATAAAATTGTAACAACATAAGTTTGATTACATCTTATGAGGATGGTTTTCCAAGTGAACTCAATGAAGCTCTAAAAAAGGTTAGAAAGTGTAGAAGATATTCCATCCAATCATCTTTTGAAAGAATATTTTAGGATCTTCATATGAAGCTTCCTTATTGGAAAAACGTTAAAAAACCACTGTATGCGGATCGGATGACTATAGTGATGATTTTTGTTTACTAGAAAACCATAAATACATGAGTGTTTTCTTTTTACCATACTTGACACTGTTTGGAATAATGTTCCTTCTCATTTATCTTCTGTCTTCTCACTTGCAACTTAGAGGGTTCTAGTATTCGAGTGCTTAGGTAGTACAGCAAGAATCTAAGCTCTAAGATATAATACATCTTAAAACCTATATAAACCCAACGAGGTAGTTCTAAGGTATAACATCATTTACTTTTAATAATCTTACAACTAAAATATCTTCAAATGATATAAAAACTATAGATAAGGTATTTCAATTCTGATTGATATACTATGAATTTACAATCAATTTATACATATATATCATAAAGTTGATAGATAGATAGATAGATAGATAGATAGTTAGGTAGGTGGGTAGGTAGGTGGGTAGGTAGGTAGGTAGGTAGGTAAGTAGGCGGCTATGTTTATAACAAAATCAATAAAATCATCATAATTAATTAGATTGTTGATAACTATTTCATTATCTTAAGGATCGATATACAATTAATGTTACTTAGGTAGTGATATGAAGAAAAATTTGTCCTTTTTGTATTTTCTAATGTTTCTATTGTCTACCAAATCAGTTGGATACATGTAGTTGTATTAATGATAAATATTTTATACTTTGATATGATTTATTTATTATCATTTGAACACATAAATATTGGTACAAGGAAGCACCAGATATATATGCGCCACACAAATCTCATTTGATTTATGTGAGGGCTGTAATACTGCTCAGGTAACAGATGGTTTCCTTGGGGGGCCACATCCGGAGCCCTCGACCTAAAGGTATGATCCAGAAAGCAAAGGAGCATCGTGAGAAGATGCAGTCCCATGGTAGCTGGTAATCAACTATTGGTTCATACACCATTTATCCCCTCAGGATACTGGAGTCCATGTGCATCATTGATTTGGAATCAAGGTTTTCCAACTCATCTAGGTGAACTGTCTGTGTCCACTAACCCGGTTAAAGTGCAAAACTTTCGCTTTTCCTCCTCTCAATTTCGTAAACAACACCCGTGGTGCGAGAATGCAATGAGTAGGACTTATGTGTCAGAGGCTGTATACGCGTGACCATGTGAGAGGATTTGGAGAGAGAGAGAGAGAGAGAGCGGACTCTTCCCACTCTCAGCCGTACCAGAGTATTTGGGGGCACCCTTATATGATGCTCACAAATTCACCAACGATACTATTAATTAAACCTTTTTGAATAATGACATGATTTGTGGAAGTTAGCTCAATAAAACATTCGTAAGTGCACATTCTGCAAAAAAGAAACAAATGCCTAGCTCTAAATAAATAATATATTGATATCCTAATGAGTAGAAAAGTTAGATTTCCTGACGTTTCGTGACTCAGCCTAAGCCACTTCTTCAGAGAATAAATAATCAAATCAAAATTAATCCAATTTTAAATAGTATAACAGAACAACATGACTGTATAGATATAGTCAGTTCAATATAAAAAACAACAGATTGATTGATCTCCATAGAATTTTCTATT